GGAGTGGCGGCAAAGAGATTCCGTCCGAGGCGGGCCATGGCGGCGCGGCTTGGCGGTATCAGGCCTACCAACGGCTTTATTCGTGTCTTCTCAACGACACACCTCTCTGTCACTCTCTCCCTCCCTCTCTCTCTCCATCTCCTTGCCTCGGTGCGGCTGCGGCTTTCGAGCGGGCGCTGCACTGTTAAAAGCAAAATGAACAGGTCCTTGCAGTGGATGCCCCGAAGACGCGTCTGTGAAATACGCTGCTGTTGTCGGTCTGGCCGGGTGCTATCTGCCATCCTTTATCACTGGCCGAGCCTAGGCCTGCGCTCTGTCTCGCTCGCGCTCACGGGCCGTCCCCGTAGGGGCCGTAGGGGTGCGAGGGAGACCGCGCCGCGTCTAGCCGGAGCGGCGGAGCGGCCCCCTGCCTGCGTTCCCGGCACTCGGTAAATCAATTTTTGACTCTGAAATATTTAAAGCGGACGCGCGCAGCAGCAGTGGCACGGGGCGCGGCCGGCAGACCGGCTCACCAACGCTCAGAATCCCCGAGGTGCCAGCGGGGGGCCTCCACGGCGGGGCCTCCACGGCGGGGCCGTCACGGCGGGGCCTCCACGGTGGGGCCTCCAGGACGGCGCCGCGCCCCGCCTGGGGCCAAGTACGCGTTATAAAAGGGATGCGGCTCGAGACGGGGCCGCGGGGGCCTCATCTGAATATCATAAGCGGCTGTCACGCCAACGGCAACCTCGCCGACGGCAGCCTCGGCAACGCGGTCAACGGCAACCTCCCTTGGCATCGCGGTCAACGGCAACCTCACCTGCGCGGTCAACGACAACCTTGACAATGGCAACCTCGCCAGCGTGGCCAATGGCCAACGGTGACCCTATTGCCAACGGTGACCCTATTGCCAACGGCAGCCTCGTTCCGTCTCTCTCACACTCATGGGACGTCAGCCTCGTTCCGTCTCTCTCGCACTCATGGGACAACAGCCTCTCCGTCTCTCTCTCACTCATGCGACGTCGGTGCCAGGGAGACAGAGCGACGGAAGCTGTGCTCGGAATCGCGCGGAACTAAAACGCCGCCTCTCCGGGGAAGGGGAGGGGGCAAATAGAAATAAGGAATCCAATCAGCATCGCGACGAGCGACCGCGTCGACTGCGGCAAGCGCGTCCCCCACTTTGCGAGCTTGCTCTTAAGAAAAATAAAACCCGCGCGCGGGTTCGAGTACTCGGGCGGAAAAAGACAGCGATCGTTTGAAAATGTCTCCTGTCGAAAGTGTACCCAACAGCAGGTAGTTTCTATCATCATTATGTTTCTAACGGAGTTCCTTTTCCCTACTGCAACTCAGTTTGCGCGTGGACAGCGTGCAGCGGGCCGGACAGAGCTTGGCTGCGCCTTGGCTGCGCACTGGGCGCTGACTGGATGATTACAGCAACCTGCCTGGATGCTCCAGGGCATTAATTATCATCAAAACAGCTCACGCCGCTATTTTTTTTTTTTTGTTCTGAATCTTCTCTCCCCCTTTTATTTTTTTCATTTCGGGTGGCGAAGGAAACCGGGAGGGAAGGGCGACAGGTAGGGAAGGGGGCGCAGGGAGCACCGCGCTGACAGGCAGTGGCGGATCCTGCGCCGTTCTGAGGGGGGCAAAGTGGGACTTGCCTACGTACAGGGGGAAAGGGTTGCTATTGCCTTCCTTCGGGTGGCTGTCTTGCGAACGAGAGGCGCGACTGCCTTCCCCCTCCCCTTTCTCTCTGGATCCTGGATCCGCCCCTGCGGACGGGCCGGGCCAGGAGGCTGGGGCTCGGGCAGGAGGCTGTTGAGCAGGCGCCGTCCGTGCCGTGGACCCTGTCTCCGGCCCGCCCGTTTGTTTTGCCTCGGACGGAAACTCGGAGGTAATGAAATGATTGCCTGTTCTTTCTGTTTCTGGCGGGGGCCGCGCAGAATTCGCTTCTAATTGGCGGCCGAGGTCTGTCTGTCTCTCTCTTTCTCTCTCTCTCTCTCTCTCTCTCTCTCTCTCTCTCTCTCTCTCTCTCTCTCTCTCTCTCTCTCTCTCTCTCTCTCTCTCTCTCTCTCTCTCTCTCTCTCTCTCTCTCTCTCTCTCTCTCTCTCTCCCACCGTCGCTGGCACATCGAACGTGTCGTCTCGCTCTGGCGTCTTGGTCGTTTTGTGACTGCCATAATCTCCTTCCCTTGTCGGATGTAAATATACAAAGCCGAGGACGGGTTGAAAGGTTCGTTCCGGCGGCCGGGGCTGTTTGCAACCCCCCCTCCCCTCCTCTCGGCCCTCTCGGAGGACCGCTCCGCTGGGCCGTACCGGGTCGCTTGTCTCCCCCCCCCCCCCCCCGGTTTTGTTTCGCCCCTCCGGTCCGTCCGATGCGGTCCCTCCTTGCATAACCCTCACCAGTGTGGTGGTTCTGCGACCCTACGTGCCGCAGCTCCCGAAGGGGTACCCTTCAGACGCCCCATCCCATGCCGAAACAGACTGATTCCGAGAGTCGTTTTCGTCGCTCTGTCTCTCTCGCACCCACGCGGGACGCCCTAGGAGTGCGAGAGAGACAGAGCGACGGAAACGACTCTCGGAATCAGTGCGCTGCTCCGCTAGACATGAGAAACTGATTCGAATTGGCTAGAGTGCGAAAATGCTACGCGTTTCGGCTGGTATGCTAAAATGGTCCTCTGCGGAGTTGCAGTGAAGCTCGTTCCGCTTGTTTCGAAGGTGCAGCACCGAGCTCTCCTTGCCGGCTGTTGTCTGCCGAGACGCGCGGGAAGGGGGGAGGGAGGGGGCATCCCGAGCAGCCAATCTGGACCAACAAAGACGAGCCGAGAGTTGCATGACACTGTCTCACTCTGTCTCACTGTCTCGGGGGCCTTAATGAACAACGAGGGCGTGCCCCTGGAGCCCCCGCGGGGGCCCCGGCCCGCCACGCCACGCCCCGCCACGCCACCGTTGTTGCGCTGTCGCCTTGCCACTTCGGGGCTAAACCATTCGCAGCCCCGAGTCGTGAGGCGAGCGAGGCGGCGGTGGAACAATGCGCGCGGCCGCCGCGCGTGTCGCCGCCACCTCAATGGCGTGGAGTGCTGCACTGTAAAAACTTGACGTCGCTTTACGACAAAACGGTCGCTGGATCATTTTCATAACTTATAGACCGTTGTAAACTTGCTGTCGCTTTATCACAAAACATGTGGATAGACCGTTGTAAACCTAAACTTGCTGTCACTTTATCACGAAACAGTGCGGATAATGAAATTTTCATAACTTATAGACCGTTGTAAACTTGCTGTCGCTTTATCACAAAACAGTGGATAATGAAATTTTCATAAATTATTGACAGTTGTTAACTTGCTGCTTTATTATGACTATAACAAAACCGTGGCTTATGAAATTTTTTAAACTTATGATCTCAAATATGTGACATGCTCTCATCAATGCCCCCCCCCCATACTGGCATTGTAGGTGTGACAACATTGTCAAAACTGGTTTGAAGACATTCTTAAGGAATTAAATTAGCGTTGAAGTTGTCATTAGGCCTAAGTGTGAAGCTGTCATTAAGTGACTATACCAAAATCTTCACAGTTCACATACTGCCGAGGACTTCCCCCTGCACAATAGCATATCGGAAGCACATGCGCAGACGGCAGCGCTGTGGAAACGTTTAACATTAAATTTCGAGAAATTGGCCAATCAGCTGGACGATGGTGCTGACGTGTGTTGATTCCAAAGTTAGCCGGTTTCGGGTCGAACGAGCGGGCTGGGCGGGCTGGGCATTCCGCCCCGGTGGCGTGGTCGGCGTGGTGTTGGCCAACTTGAAATAATTACGGTGCAGGCACGCCGCTGCCCACGCGGGCCACTGGGCCGAGCCTGATTTGTTGAAATGATTGCCCCCGATTGCCGCTCCCCATTCGGCGTGGACCGCCGGGCTCCGGCCGGGGTCGCGGTGGCCTTCTGATGTGCTAATCAGAGCCTTTGCAACCCCGAACCGTGGAACACCTCTCTCTCTCTCTCTCTCCTCTCTCTCTCTTCTCTCTCTCTCTCTCTCTCTCTCTCTGTCCTCGTCGTTCGGACGGCGTTATTTCAATCCGACAGGCCACAGCCGCTGCCGCCGCTCGCACTTACAGACCGCCGCGCCGCCACGCGGCCACCCACGCAATTACAGAGGGTCGCTTCTCCAGACAATGGGAGGCGCGGCACGGCAAAGGCACGCCACGCCACGGCGGTCCCAATGAGTCCTGGCTGGGGCCCTCCGTGTGGGCCCCGCCCTGGGAACGACGGCTCCAAAGTCCCGGGAGCACATTTTGCGGTCGGTCCTCTCCGTCGCACACACTATAACACTTCCCCCACCACTCACCACCACCTCTCTCTCTCTCTCTCTCTCTCTCTCTCTCTCTCTCTCTCTCTCTCTCTCTCTCTCACACACACACCCACACACCCACCCACACACACACCCACACACACACACTTGCTCACTCATACAAACGCTCGTTGTAGAATGCAGCACTCCGGGAGCAGGCCGGCAAACAGAACAGTAATTTGTTTCCTTGTTGGTTCCGATTGGTCGGAACGGGCCTCGCCTTTTCGGCCTTCCGGGTCGCCCAGAAGACTGTCCCCGTCCTCTCCAAACACAATAAGGCCGAGCTGCTCATCGCCCTGCTTGTCGTGCTGGTCGTCCCAAGGCAATCAGCCCGCCGGTCGGGACGCCGTGCTCGCCGTGCTCGCCGTGCTCTGTGCCATGTCGGCCGGGGGCAGCCCAAGGGGCAGCCATGGCAGCGGCAACTAGCTGCGACATGCGTGGCGTGGTTCGCCTATAGGCTACAGTATGTGGCTTCCCACAGGACAGAAAATAGTTCCCAGTCGATCCGCGTGCACGGTGCACGGTGAAAATTTGTATGACGCTGTCATCAAAGTTCCTACATGTGTTTCATGGGCGCGACTACAGTGTCATCAACTGGTGTCATGACATTCTTGTACAACAATTTGCCACCGAAATATTGACAGTGTGTGTGTGTGTGTGTGTTTGTGTTGCAGACGGTGGTCAAGGAGATGAACCGGCTGGGCATGCTGGTGGACCTGTCCCACGTGTCGGTGGCCACGATGCGCGATGCACTGGAAGTGAGCCGGGCGCCCGTCTTCTTCAGCCACTCGTCCGCCAGGGCGCTGTGCAACTCGAGCCGCAACGTGCCGGACCACATCCTGGCCAACCTGGTGAGTCTGTCTCTCTCGCACCCGCACGGGACGCCCCATGCGTGCGACAGAGACGGGCTGTCAGCCTCTGGATTTGTAGTGAGCCGCACAGTGGGCCAGAAGACCGGCGCCGGCGGCCGAAACTCTAGACGCGTTTTGAGCTCCAGAGTCGCTAAACAGGACTCGAACCGAACGTGTGACCCCACCAATGGATTGCTCTCCGAACGAGGAATCCGTTGGTGGGGTCACACGTTCGGTTCGAGCCCTGTTTAGCGACTCTGGAGCTCAAAACGCGTCTAGAGTTTTGGCCGCCGGCGCTGGTCTTTTGGCCCACCGTGAACCGCCTGCGAAGCCCAGGGTAGGCACCCCGCCGCACGCGCGCGTCGCGGGACGGTCTATCTCTCTCGCACATACGCGGGTCCCATGAGTGCGACGAAGACAGACCGACGGCCGCCGCCACTCATCGTGCGGAGCGCCCGACGAGCAGCGGGTAGGCCGCCGGGCGACGCGCGCGTGCGGCGGGGTGCCTACCCTGGACTTCGCAGGCGGTAGGCCGCGGCAGGCATGCCGACGTCGCACCGGCAGACGACGGCACGACGGCCAGCTGGGCTTCGAGGCCCTCCACGGCGATTCCGCGTGCTGTGCGGCCAGCAGTCTATCTCTCTCGCACTCGTGAGACGCCCCGCACAGTGGGCGAGAAGACCGGTGGAGCGGCCAAAATTCTAGACGCGTTTTGAGCTCAAAAGTCGCTAAATGGGACTCGAACCCAACGTGTGACCCCACCAATGGATTGCTCTCCGAACGAGGAATCCATTGGTGGGGTCACACGTTCGGTTCGAGTCCCATTTAGCGACTCTGGAGCTCAAAACGCGTCTAGAATTTTGGCCGCACCACCGGTCTTCTGGCCCACTGTGCCCCGTATGGGTGCGAGAGAGACAGGCCGACGGCCGCACGGCGCGGAATCAGCCAGCCGTCCTGGCCAGGCCAGCCTCTAGGCCAGCCTCTAGGCCTGCCCACACCGGTCCCCGCAGGAACGTCTGTTTTACTAAAGAGGCTAACTTGTTTCCGGGGAGTGGCAGGGAAGGGGAGGGGGCACTATTAATCTGCGTTTCAAAAGATGTTCCCAAGACGACGCGCCGCCCCGCCACCCTTGTCGCTTGTTAGGGCGGCAGGTCATCACGTTCGCAACGCCTAGGCCGCCCAGGCCGCCTAGGCCACGACGCGAGGACTTGCAAAAACAAATTTCAATACGGGAAGCACATTGCACTGTAAAAAATTCCGTATTTTTGCACGGAAATGGTACAGAAAAATATAGTGCCGAGGTACGGAGAAAGTACTTCCGTACTTGCTCCATATGAATCCATGTAAATGGGTACGGAAAAAAAGTACGGAACGTTCCGTAGTAGACAACTACGGACGGTCCAGGCAAATTATTGACCAGACATGTTCCGTACTTTTTCCGTACTTTTTTTCTCACAGTGTGACTCGAAAAAATCTCAGCATACATGGTTCTAGGTCACTTTTCTTATGTGACAGTACTAATATTTTTCGTTCTTTTTGGGTTTTTTTCTAATGAAGTGAGTGCAGTGTGCCCTGCTGCTGTTTGGCTGTGGGGCGGGGCGGGGCGTGGCGGCCGCGGATTGGCAATCTGGGCTGATGAGCGGTTCCCTCCCGTTCCCCCGGCTCCCTCCGGTTCCTAGGGACAGGGCGGAGACGAGGCAGCAGACCGATTCCGAGAGTCGTTTTCGTCGCTCTGTCTCCCTCGCACTCGCGCGGCGTCCCGTATCGGTGCGAGAGAGACAGAGCGACGAAAACGACTCTCGGAATCAGTCGACAGTGGCGGAGCGCGGCGCTCGGTGTCGTGAGCCATCGTGATCAGGCGTGATCGACGGGAGAGGGGGATGATCCGAGGCTTAAGTAGCAGGGGCCCTGCTGCAGACTGATTCCGAAAGTCGTTTTCGTCGCTCTGCCCCCTCGCACTCGCGCGGCGTCCCGTACAGGTGCGAGAGAGACAGAGCGACGAAAACGACTCTCGGAACCAGTCTCTTGGGGCGGTGGGCTGGCGTGCGAACACGACATCGGCAACAACCCCTTGAAACGTCTGCACTCGAGGAGCTTAAGCTGCAGGCTGCTTCCCAACAGTATGCTTCGTCGCTCTGTCTCTCTCGCACTCTCGGGGCGTCCTAGCGGTGCGAGAGAGACCGAGTGACGGCCATATCTTTCCGTCCCCGAGTGTGCGCCTCTACCTCAGTGCAGTGAGGATGAGTGAGACACGAGGCGAGAGAGTTGAGGGTTTGAGGTAAGTCGTACATCAAACAGCGCACTGCAAACACTCAATAGCAAGGGAAGGGAGAGGCTCCCCAGCTGCTCACTCAAATAACCCTTCGGGCCAATAATTGGCCCGGCTTATCCTTGATTGCCAACCCTTTCCCAGTGCTGCAGCATGCTGGTGCGCCTCGCCTTGTTTGCGTTCGCCGCCAACCACTCGCGCGCTCGCGACGTCCGGGGTATTTACTCTCATAAAGGAGGTGCGCAAAACGGGGCTGCTTCTTTCGCAAAATTCCCTCCTTTTGCACGAGTTCGCCGCCGCGTTGCGTCTTTTCATGGAGGCACACTGACAAAAGAGATGCGCGTGTCAAGACCCCGGGCGTCGAGCCGGGCAGCCGCCTGGTGCCGAAGGACCGTTTCGTCGCTCTGTCTCTCTCGCACTCATGGGGCGTCCCGTATGGGTGCGAGAGAGACAGCGCGACGAATGCGACTCTCGGATTCAGTCTGCTGACGTCAAGCAGTCACGGCCGCAAGGCCCCGAGCGCCTGAAAGCCCAGTGATAGCATCCACATGGAAGTCACGGGGCATTGGCTGAGCTCGATGTGTTCCCTGATTACGTTTCTCTTAGAAAGAAGACACAGTGGCTCGGCTAAATGGACCCTCCCTCCCCGTCCCCAGGCCAGTGTTATTGAACCGGGCATAATAATTTTGTTGCTCTTTCTGCCCCCTGTCCCCCCTTGGACCGCTCGACGCATGGACACACACACACACACACACACACACACACAAACACACAACACACCACACACACACACACACACACACACGAATTCGCGCTCCATTGCGTCCATTCATGCCCCCGCTGCGGCGCGCTGCCTGTCTGGCTTGCCTGCACAAGGGGAGCGACCCTCTCTGGCAACCATGCGGGCACACTGGGGCATCTCTCTCAGCCGCCCGTAACCTTGGCAACCGCGAAAATCTCGCAAAACAAACTCTACGCTGGGCTGCGCGCGCTGGAACACTGCGGACTGATTCCGAGAGTCGTTTTCGTCGCTCCGTCTCTCTCGCACCTGTGCCGGGCGCCCCATGAGTGCGACAGAGACGGGGTGACGAAAACGGACTGTCGGAATCAGTCTGCTGGCTGGCAACAGGCTCCGCTGCTCATTAGGGGCTTCTCTCGCTTTTCATTGGTGTACAGTGAACCGCGTCCGACAGTGCTCCTGCAGGCTCAAGAGTCCTTCCCTCGCCCTGTCTTTGTCGCACTCGTTAGGCAGCCCGAAGCGGTGCGAGAGAGACAGCGACACGGAATGTGTTTTAGAAACCTGACGCGCAGTGTTTCCTGCGTTAGCGCACTGACGCCCAAAACACTCCCTGAAAGCTTAACTCATCTCTCCGCGAGAGTTTGTGAGGAATTAAGAGTGCCGTGACAAGGTCGTGACGGTGTGGACTTCCCCGGCGAGCACGCCGAACGCCATCTCGACCACCTTCGGAGGCCCGAAGGGTGGCGAGACAGAACGCGTCCACTGCCGACTCCAGCGGGCCGGGCCCTGGCCGGGCCTTGCGTCCCCCCGGACTCCAGCGGCTCCAGCAGACTGATTCCGAGAGTCTCTCTCGCACTCGTGGGGCGTCCCGTACAGGTGCGAGAGGGACAGAGCGACGAAAAAGATCTCAGCCTCCGGAGGCTCCAGGAGTGTGCGGCGGAGACAGCCGTTGACTTCCGTTTCCTGAGCGCCCCTCCCCCTCCTTTCCCTCTTTACAATCTCCCTGCCGTCCCGGAGGCTTGCGCAAAAAAAGGGTGTTCGCTTCGACGTGTTGCTGTCCTTAGAACGCAGCGCTGCCAAACGGAAAGACACGAATGTTATTCGTCGTGCCGTCCCGGAGGCTTGCGCAAAAAAAGGGTGTTCGCTTCGACGTGTTGCTGTCCTTAGAACGCAGCGCTGCCAAACGGAAAGACACGAATGTTATTCGTCGTGCCGTCCCGGAGGCTTGCGCAAAAAAAGGGTGTTCGCTTCGACGTGTTGCTGTCCTTAGAACGCAGCGCTGCCAAACGGAAAGACACGAATGTTATTCGTCGTGCCGTCCCGGAGGCTTGCGCAAAAAAAGGGTGTTCGCTTCGACGTGTTGCTGTCCTTAGAACGCAGCGCTGCCAAACGGAAAGACACGAATGTTATTCGTCGTGCCGTCCCGGAGGCTTGCGCAAAAAAAGGGTGTTCGCTTCGACGTGTTGCTGTCCTTAGAACGCAGCGCTGCCAAACGGAAAGACACGAATGTTATTCGTCGTGCCGTCCCGGAGGCTTGCGCAAAAAAAAGGGTGTTCGCTTCGACGTGTTGCTGTCCTTAGAACGCAGCGCTGCCAAACGGAAAGACACGAATGTTATTCGTCGTGCGGACAACGGAACGGGCAGCTGGTCGCACTGTAAGTGGCTAGGTTTCAGTTTGTGTATGTGTTTGTGTTGCAGGCAAACAACAGGGGGCTGGTCATGGTCAACTTCTACTCCCACTTCTTGTCCTGCAGCGAGTTCTCCACCGTGGAGGACGCCGTCGGTAAGCCAGCAGCCAGCCGAGCGATTCAGAAGAGCGGTTGGTCGCTCTGTCTCTCTCGCACCCTTACGGAGAGCTCCAGGAGTGCGACAGAGACAGAGCGACGAAACGACTTTTCCGAATCGCTCGGCCGTCAAGTTTCAAATCGGAGGGACTCGACCTCTGCGATCGGATTGTTGACTTTCTTTTCTTTTCGCGTGTTCCAGCCCACATCAACCACATCAGGGACGTGGCCGGGGTGGACCACGTGGGCCTCGGCGCGGGATTCGACGGCATCAACGCGTGAGTGCCACATCACCATGGCAACGCCAGCGTGCTCTCTGTCTCTCTCGCACCTGTGCAGAACGCCCCGTGCTGCGTGCGAGAGAGACAGAGGAATCAGTCTGCTGACCGCGTCCTCGGTTTGCTCGTTCCAGGACGCCGCAGGGCCTGGAGGACGTGTCCAGCTACCCGGTCCTCTTCGCCGAGCTGATCCGCTCCGGGAAGTGGTCCGCCGAGGATTTGAAGAAGCTGGCGGGGCAGAACTTTCTGCGCGTCATGCGGGAAGTGGAAAAGGTTTGTCCGAGTGTCCGGGAGGAGAGAGAGAGAGAGAGAGAGAGAGAGAGAGAGAGAGAGAGAGAGAGAGAGAGAGAGAGAGAGAGAGTGAGAGAGAGTGTGTGTAAGAGAGAGTGTGTGTAAGAGAGAGTGTGTGTAAGAGAGAGAGATGCCTGCGTGTTGCCTACTTGCCGGCGCTAATGCGAGTCCCTCTGCCTTCCGCTCCGCAGGTCCGCGACGCCATGAGCGAGAACAACGTGGGGCCGTTCGAGGACACGATCGCCACCAAGCACCTCCGCGGCCGCAACAACTGCACCTCCGTGCTGCACCTGCCCAGGATCCCGACGCAGCGCGACCACGGGCGCGCCATGCCGCTGAGCAGCCCCGGCGGCGGCCACGGCCACGGCCACCAGGACGACGGCGACGGGGCGCCATGATCCGAGGCGGTGGCCAGCGCCGTGGTGCCTCTGCCGGCGACGGCCCGTCGCCGGCATGCAGCCAGCGAGGCCGCCTTCCGACAATCATGACGCCCATGGCGCCCATGGCCGTACTCCCGCCTGGACCTGCACCACCTGCACCAGGACCTGCCCCGGGGCCGCCCATGAGTGACTCCGCGCATCTTCTGTCGCTCTGTCGCGCTCGCACCCCGACGGCATCAACGGGAGGGCGAGAGAGACCAAGCAACGAGAGCGCAGTGATCGGGTTCAGTCTACGCGCGGAATGCGCCAACAACGGGTCCTGGTCGTGAAGGGTCAGAACGCGGTGGTGTCGTCGGGTCCTCCACTGTAACTCCACCAGCTCGAGTGCGGTTGGCTCATTCGAGCCAACTCCCCCTCCCCGATCCAGCCGCCACTGCGGGAAAGGCAAGTGCACTTGCCTCCCATGGGAGCCACCCGGCTGGGCCTCGGGGCCTCTCTATTCCACCGAGCTTTAAGAACATCCTCCCGGAGGGCATGCTTAACGTGCCCGTAGACCGGACAGAGAGTGTGCTTCCAGTGCTCGCTCTCCACTCCCGCAACGCCAGACACCTGGGACTTTGACAGGATTTGTGTCAGTAATTAATTAATCGTCAGTAGCGTCTGAAGAAGGAAAGTCTGGGAGTGTGTGTGAACTCGTCTCCATTTGGGACTGAATTCATAATAAATTGTTTTCATGTAAACCGTGAATTTTGCGGCTTTTGCTTAAGACCACATGTATGGTGTAAAAAAAAAGGCCAAAGTTCTGTTGAAATTGCTTCAACACAAATAATGTTGTCTATTGGATGGATGTGATATATTTGCTATGAATGATATTTAATTCAATGTTAATGTTTCATAGTTTCTATTGTACCAAATAGTAAGAATATAATTAATCCTAATATTAGCTGGCTAATGTTAGGCCTGAAACTTTTAAACCTCAGTGTCTAGTGAATTTTCAATTATTTAGTGATTTGTTCATTCAACATGTCTTTGTCTTCACTTTATAGTTAGTAGCAATTATACTGTTACCCCTATGGAAGAAAATCGTCTTTCTCTTAGATTAAAATCTTGACCAATTGTGGTTTCTCTCTAATTCTTAACAATCTTTAAAACATAATTACAATTGATGCATGGAGTTTACTTCAGCTGTGTTAGCAATAATTTTCCTTCTGTTGCTATTGGTTATTTTAAGAAAATCCAGTGATATGTGTAAGTATTTATTAGATTGTTGTTAGTAAATCAATTGTACCTTATCTTTGTGATATGTTCTATGTAAATTTGATTGCATATTAATTCCCTTGTAAAAATGTTGCTAGTTAATAAGTAGAACTTGTAAATTGGATTCAAATTTAAAATGCGAACGTATGTAGTTAGGCCAATAAATTAACTTACTCTTAGTTCGATTCAAAAGTCTTCTTTCCCACTTCAACCCGCAATTTCAGTCGTAATTGTCATTCTAGGGCTAAGCTACGTGTGGGCCTTCTTTTGAATTCTGGCGCCAGCAAAGCAGGGCCTGCCACAAACAACGAAAGGCAACCGACGACACTAGCGACGCCTATCGTCACCTAACTGAACCCTTCATGCTCTCAAGTTCAAATTTCCTGACCAAAACAGAGGTGTCCGGTTCGTTTCGTGATTCTTTAGTGGTGTTCCTCGGAATTGCAAAACATACTCACTTGCAGAAGAAGTTTGCAAAGTTAACTCCAGAGAACTATTTGGTTTCAATGATCACATTACGATTACAACTGACTTAGGGATTGTTGATTGCTTTTCATTTTGGAAAGGCTTTTGGGCATTATGGAAAGATTCAAGATAAATAACTTGTGGGTGCATTTTCCCTTTGTCCCATATGCCCCACAAGAGGTCTTCATGAAGAAGATGCTTGAAAGCATGGACAAAGTATGTAACTTTCTCTGGTTTGATCAGTTTCAGTTTCTCTGCTTATCCTTTGCCGCTAAACATATCTTTTTTCAGGCTCAAAATGCTTTGTTAGAATCACCAACAGGTACAGGTAAGACACTATGTCTTGTCTGCGCCTCTCTGGCTTGGCTTGATAGACAGAAAAAAATTAATGAAACGCCTGAGTTGTATGAGGATGATCCTGAAACTGCCTCCGACAAACAAACAACATCTGAAGAAAAACTTGATGAAACCCACCTTTCTGGCGATTTATCAAGTTGGTTTCCTTGTTTCAATTTAAATGGATGATGATCATCCCAAATGTATTTTTTACCATTGTTCTATTTTGTGTTCACAGGTGCTGAGAAGAAGGAAGAAAGACGATCTCACAAAATTTACTTTTGTACTCGTACTCATTCTCAACTTATTCAAGCTGTCAATGAATTTAAAAACACGTCATATGGACATCTGAGGTCAGCAACACTGGGTTCAAGGAAACAACTGTGCCTTAATCCTTGTGCACTTAAGGCTGGAAGCAATCTTGTGAGGAAACTCAACTGAAAGTCTATATTTTCAATATGTGATACTTTAAAGGTGGCCTTACAATGCGTGTCTGCCCTTGTCCGACGTCCCAATATTGGGAATCTTGAGAATAGTTCGCATGTGATGGTTTACAAGGGTGAAGAATAGTAATTTACATCACATTCCTGTTACATTTGTTTCAAATAGTGTAAATAATCGGAGGGTGGACATAGCCGGACACTCATTGTAAGGCCACCTTAAGGATGATCTGTTGCTTTACCCGTTTTTTCCTCTCTCAGGATGACAAATGTGCTTCATTAAGGAATGTCAAACGTGAAAGTAAATGTTCTTCACCTGGACCAGATATTGAAGATCTTCCAGAAAAATGTTCCTCATGTTTTGATGACCACCGCTGTCAGTACTACGTGAATTATGAACAAATGAAGCAGTCAGGAAGAGATCATGATTTCACCATGGCGCCTGCCATGGATCAAAGGACATTAATTGAAAAAAGTCGCAAACACAAAGTATGTCCATTTTATATGTCCCGACACCTTCAAAAACAAGCTGATATAATATTTCTGCCCTATGCTTACATTTTTAATCCTCATATCTTGAGAGGGTTGCAGTTAAATGTTGAGGTACGTAACATAGCATAAGTGAAAAACAACTACAAAAAAAGTTTTGGTGCTTCATTAACTTTTGTTGTTTGTCTAGGATTCTATCATTATCATTGATGAAGGACATAATTTGGAGAAAGTTTGTGAAGAAAACGCATCGTTTGAATTGAAGATTTCAGATATTGCAAACTGTCGTGCAGAATTACATTCAATATCAGTGAGTATTTGGGTTCCCCTCATAATGCCGCTTCAATTTTATGTTTTAGTCTAGATTTTCTTCTTCTTAATTGCCAGGATCTAGATGAGCTTGATGATAGCTATCCAAAAGATGTCCTCAGAAAAAATATTCAGGAACTTGAAGATGTATTTCTGAAGCTTGAGGCATTATTTGCAAATCGTATTTTACCAGGCACTCAGATACCTCATTATGATGGGGAATACTGTATCCGTCTGTTTGAGGAGGCAGGGATCACACCTGCTCAATATCAAAGACAATTGTACAACTTGAAGCAGTTGATTCAGTTTTTAGGTGCCAAGGAGCGAGCGACGACTGGCATGAAGAAAATGAATAGTGTGATCAGCACTGTTTACTGTCTTGAAGAGAAAGAAAATGGAACTTTGACGACAACTTTGAGAGACAGTTTTGTCCTTTATAAAGAGATTATACCCCCTGAAAAGTTAAAAGAAAAGCCAGACTTGGAGCCCAAAATATTCTTTTGGTGCTTTAATGCTGGTATAATAATGAAATCCTTGATGGAGAAGGGGGTGCATTCCTTCATTGTGACTAGTGGGACTCTGGCACCTCTTCGTCCCTTGCGTGAAAGTTTATCTATTCCATTCCAAGTAGAGTTATTGAATGAACATGTTGTGGACAGCTCTCAGGTTAGTTTAGAACATTTTTTTTCATTCTATTTGTTGTTGCCATCATCTCTAAATATGCACATGCCCTTCGCATGTTTTTTAATCTGGTCTAGGTCCTGAGCCTCTGTGTTACGGAGGCTCCAACCTGTACAGGTGATAAAAAAGAATTACTTGATGTATCATACAATAACAGGTACTTGAATCTTTATTGAATGTACTGTGCCAATAAACTTTTTCACAACTTGTTATCTTCTGAAGTCTTAACACTCCCGTTTTTGTCTTAACGTCTTTTAGGGAGGAAAATGGGAAGCAGCTGTATGATGCCCTTGGCAATGTTATTAGGGAAATCGTGAGATATACTCCCAATGGAGTTCTTATATTCTTTACTTCATCCACTGTAAAGAATCAGTGTCTTACAAGATGGAATGATATTTTTAACAGAAGTGGTATAAGTCTTTACCATGAAATCAACAATCTTAAGGTAAAATATTTGCTTCAAAGCTGGTGAAACCCTCTTATTGCATGCCTGTGTGAATGTTGTAAGAGGGTGTGTCTTTCCTCTTTTACATCAAAAAGATTTGACAGTAACATTTATGTATATTTTTAGGAGATATTTGAGGAACCAAAGGAAGCGTCTGACATGAATGATCTACAATTGAGGTACACCTCAAAGATTGAACTTACGTCTGGTGCATGTCTCATTGGTGTCACAAGTGGAAAGGTATTTATCATTTAAAAAAAATTTAATTTTAAAGATTGTAAACAAACAAAATTTTTCATGTTTATCATTGGTCTAGGTCAGTGAAGGTATTGATTTCAAAGACAAACTGGGAAGGGCTGTCATAATGGTGGGATTGCCGTATCCTCCATACTTTGATCCATGGGTGGTGCATAAGAGAGCCCACTTGTGTAGGACGCGAGGTTCAGCTGTAAGTTTGGCAATGCTTGAAAACAAGTCTGAATTTGCTGTCAAGAATACGAACAGAAGAAGTTTGTTGTATGCAGTGTTCTGAAGTACTTTTTTGTGACATTCGGTTTTGATTGTATCAACAGGTAAACAACGAGTGGTACTTGTCACAGGCCATAAGACCTGTGAATCAGGCACTAGGACGAATTATTCGGCATCAGAAAGACTATGGAGTTGTCATTTTGCCTGATGACAGGTACTCAACACCTAGAGTGCGTCAAGGTCTGCCTCACTGGCTTAACCAGGGTTTGAGAAATGTCAACTTTGAAGATCTTCGTCCTATTTTACGACAATTCTTCTCTACAATTCCTCTGAGGGTATTTATTATGAACATTCCTGTTTTCTAATCCTGAAGTCTTCTAAAAAGTAAATGTTTGCTTTTTTTCTACTTGGTAGATAAAGAATATTGGAATACGAACGGAAGAGCAGCAGGCTATCATCCGCAGACGCCATCAGGAAGAGTTAAAGAAGGAAGATCATACTGCAGACATATACTTTGACCTTATCGCCAAAAGAGATGAAGAATTAGAACGAAACAGTAAAGTAAATGCAGAAATACAAATTCTCCTAAAGGCAATCCAAGACAAAAAACTTGTATTTGGAAGACTTTCCACAGAAGTAAAAGCAAAAAGAGATGCTCTTGCACTGGAGAAAATGAAGGAAGAAAAAGTTAATCTGGAGAGTCCTGAAGTAAAAGGAACAAGTGAGAAGACGAGTGATGACTGTGTTACTGTTGAAGTCAAAGAGGAGAGCGATTTAAGTCAGGTTTTAGTTGGTGACTGTGTTAAAGTTGAAGTCAAAGAGGAGAGTGATTTAAGTCAGGTTTTAGTTTCAAAGGTTTAAGTTTATTGGTTTGTAAAAACAAAATTTCTCATTTTATTTTGTGTGTATATGTTTCTATAAAATGTCCATATATTGTCTATTCTTCATAAAAATCGAACTCAGAGAATGTTGAATTTTCATGCAGAGTTTATTATTATTAAGTGCATTTTAACTTCAGTTATCAAACACTTTATTACTGAAGCTGGTCTTGTAGCATTTATTTTATTTGCCTGCTGACCTCATGCACTCATAAAACTGCACAAGGTTGTCACTTCGGCTCATGCATCCGAGGGCAAGGTCGATCCAGCTGTGCACTGCTGCAGCAGATGTGAAGCTCTATAGGCAAAGCACATGTAGTTGTATCAATAAAAAATTTTTTTATCATGAGCAGTATATAAACATGTGAACCTTTCCTGTTGCTAGTTATTCATACTGTTTTTAAAACAAATTCTAATAAAACGATTGCCATGACACATTCCATTCTCATTGAAATGATTGACATAAAATGTCTTAATTCTTGAAGGTTTCTCAACCGGGAAAATAAATATTTTCCACTCTTCGGGCAGGGAATTCCGGGAGGCAGCAGCAGAACACCCCCAGTAGGCCAGCCCCACAAGATCCTAAGGCTTCTGGCTGGATGGACTTAGACTTACCACGAGCGCGCACAGCATGGCGAAGATGAGGATGAGGCTCTCGAAGCGTGCCATGGTGGTTGGCCTGGGATCGTCAGTGTGCGCTCGACGAAGGCGCCTCACGCTTTTAAAGTCGTGTTGCAGTGTTTGTCTCTCGCGCCCTTACGAAACGTCCCGAGCACGAGAGAGACGCGCGACGATGGCACTGTTTGGAACCTGCTGCCCGGCAGTTTGTTGACACACGTGGGGTCCCGATTCGCACCTGGCGACGAATAAGACGAATCGAACACCAAAAAGTTACCAACAGAGAATCGGTTGTGTGAACATGAATAGGCTAGAAGAGGACTGCAAACAGAAAGACTTGTACTTCTTTTCAAAAACAGAAAACTTAGGGGACGCGGGGAGTGAGGGGCAATTTTTTTGGGAGTTTGTTGTGCTGGAGCACTTCCTTATTACTCCTGACACTATTTCGGGGACCATTTCGACCAGTCTTCATTTTAGCGAAAAACCGCCGGGAAGGTAGGCAACCCATCGTCCACAGCTTCACGGGAAAAGTAATTTTCACACCAAATAGAGTGTTTCAAAGACCATTGGCCACCGGATATCTGTTTCTCAGACCTAAAGCAACGTTCCATGTCAATTTTAGACAAATCGGAGGTGGTCGACCATTTTCATCGAAAAAAACGTCATGACGTTTTGGGCAAAAAGTTTAAAATGGACCAAATTTTAGTATGATGTGCTGGAGCACTCCCTGATGATTCCTGACACTATTCCGAGGACCATTGCGGCCCTAAACAGTCCTTTTCTAGCGAAAAACTGGAATCAGCGCAGAATGCGCCGGGAGGGTATGCAAACCATCGTTTAGGGCCTCTTCACCGCACCAGAACTCAACTAGCGCCACGGGAAAGTCATTTGTTGTCGCCATTGTTTCACCGTGCTGGGGACCACCCTTTTCGCTCGCCACAGGGAAGATGTGCAAAAAACAAGACACCGGTGTAAGGAGCCCTCGACAGGAGGGGCGGTTCTGCCTTTACCTACTTACAGCATGTGATGCTGGCTATGAAGCGTCAAGGGAATGACCAGGGGGGGGGGGGCAATCGCCCCTTTTGCATCTCAGAGGGAAAGCTCGCCCCTACACATAGATAGAGCCGCGCCACCAAGGTAGGCCACCCATTTGACGCGCTGAGGTGGGTTGGGGTAGGACTCTAGGTTGGGGGCCGACCGCAACGACAGGAAGAGAGAGTGAGGGGGAGACGCGGGCGTTAGCTCGGTAGGTAGGCCGCCCATTTGACATGCTGCTGCGAAAGCAGCGCAGCGTGGAAAATATAAGCCGTACCCGGCCTGGATTTGAACCCAGCTGAACCCTTTGAACCCTTGTAACACTTGGAGTGTCACTTTGGAGTTAACTTTCTGGTTTGTTTCACCAGGTGTCTTAGTTTTTCTCAGATTAGGCAACAAGAGGAAAATAACATTGGATAAACATCACACACAAAATTGAATTAGCAATTTTATTGTTAATAAGACAATTTTCAAGCTTAAGGTATACTGTGGCATTACAGTATTTAGCACTGGTCACAGTGTAATACACTTTCAAACAGAACTAAATTCGAGGCATTAAGTAATTGCCAACCAAAGTCTATGACTTGACCACAGTTATAAAAGTTTCTGACCATAATTCAAACAAGGATAGAGATAGAATAAAGGATGTAAAAACACAACTCACTGCTACTAAGTTTTCTACCTTCTTATACAACTTTTAAATATGTAATTTTACAACAACTCAAACGCCATGGACTATCCATAGTAATAATATTAAATTTTCATTCATCTACAAGTTTATGATTTAAAGAAGGTGAACAAAAACACACCCAGATGAAACTGTGTGCAAAATGGATGCTAATGACAGCAATCTGGATGATGGGTACAAACGATGTGTCTACCCACAGATACTACAAATTCGCAGTAACATCCATGAAAAAAAAATTTCATCTTGATAGAAGTGCAACTTGACATGAACATATACAAATCTATGCTGCTTGATAAAAATGTGGCACAGAGTAAACTTATGAAAGTCTGGTTCTGCTGTCTATATAGCATGAAAGAGCAATAGAAACTAATGAAGGTGAAAAGTAATTTCATATATAAAGAATAATGATCTGTACAAAGCTATGCTAGAAATTGTACTTACAGAAAGTAAACTGTAATATTTACATCGTTGCTTACCTAATTATTTTTTTTTTTTACCTTTACTACACACTTGTTACACACATGAACTAATAAATTATAAGCAACACAAAATGTGACCAGACATAGTGCAAAAGAAGTGGTTGGTTCTCTCTGAAACACATCTCTACAAGAACAAGTGAGTAAATCAATGAGATCCAACAAGATATAGATGGATCAAGTTCCAATTCAACCTACAGACTACTGTCAAAGTGCTTTTCTTTCATAATGCAGGTGTAGTGTACATGTCAAAAGCAGCACTAAAGGTCAGTGAAAGCTAAGCTATGTTCACCTTAAAAGCATCCACTATCTTGATAATTGTATTTACACAACAGTAAGATTAACAACCATGGCCTAATATAAATAAAATATAAGATAGAAGATATTACAAGGTAATGAGATGCAGGTACTGTACTGATTGATACCAGCAATTCCTTGTTTCCATTTCTTCAAAATGTACAGCAACACTTAAAAGTTGTACTAACTCACTCCTACATACACACAAAATCTCTCTCATACACAATCATTCACACACAAACAAGCAAATGAAAACACAAACACACCAACACACACATGCATGGACAGGGTTCACAATATTGGAGAGCCATAAGTGACGTGACGAAAGGAATGTCTGTACTAACAACTTCACAACACCACTCGGAAGTTCCATGGCCACTTACAAAGATACTTGTAAGAAGACAAGTCAGACAAGTGAATAGAACTTCAAAATTAAAACTTGACAAAGTAAAACTAAGAAAGCCACTCTCTTTGCTTTTTAATAGTAATTTACAGATCCTATCTGTACAAGAAATGAAAACTATGCAATAAAGTATTATAGAAAGGAAAAATTTACAACTACAAGGGGATGAAAATATTTCTCTAATCTTTTCTTTCACTGACGCATTAAATGTGAATTGAAACATGAAACAGCAGCTCTGGTCTGGTGTAAAAGATTTCTCCACAAATTTCACATTTAAACTCCTCCCTCACCTCTTCCTTCACCTGAGCAACAGGTTCAACCTTTACACTTTCAACAAATACAGTAGTGGGTTCAGCTTTAGCAGATGCTTTTTTCTCTTGCATTCCGTTTTGAGTGAGAAATTTAGGCTTTCGAATGGGCTTTCGTCCGCGAACTTTAGGTGTCTTTGGCTCTTTCGGGAATTTAGCTGGTGGAGGTTTCTGCGGCCTCTTTTCATGATGGTAGTTGACATTCTTGGTTCTGGGTCCTTTCCTGATTTTCAATGGATCATCAGTGGAGGGTGGGCCTGCTGGTGGTTGAGGAGACAAGAGCAGGTCATCCTCCAGTGGAACGGGGGGAGGAGACACGGGGGGCGGTGACAGCTTGGTCGCTTTGGGAGGCCTGGCTGGTGTACGCTGTGCAGCAGAAACATTCTTTATTCTTGGTCTGATGCGAATGGCGCCCCCCGGTGGCCTCATTCCATTGTCCTCCAGCCTTGGAGGGCTGAGGAGTCCTGTATCAACCATGCTTGAACCCGCTTCGTTTTCGTCCAAAGCTGGTCCTGTGTGTTTCATTTTGCGCTTCTTTTTAACTTTGGTCCGCCCTACCATGGAGTTGATTGTGTCCAAGGCAGCATCAAAGGTTCTGGCAACAGTATCGTAGTCTGGTTGCGGCTTACTAGCTTTCCTGACAACACCAGCGTCTGAATCTGATTCATTATCAGGCGAATCTTCGTTTCCATACTCCATTTCATGGGGCTTCAGCCTGCGGCGCCGTTTGTACTTGCGTGGTGCTAAAGCTGGTTTGCGGTGTCGAGCCGTATTTTCATCGGAGTGCTTCACCAAGTGCAGACAAAGGTCCTCTGAGGTAATGAGGGCCATTCCACATACTTTGCACACATATCCACCACCACCAGCGCAGTGCTTAGGGTCAGGTCCAGAGTGGTGTGCACGAATGTGCTCTCTGAGTACAACCTGTAAATAGATCAAACAGTTAATAAAGTAAATAGCATTGAGTCAAATCATCCAAAGAGAATGCTTCATAGTAAACTTACTCTTTGATTGAAAGCCCTGGGACAAATGGGGCAAGCATAAGGTTTTTCACCAGTATGTATCCGTTCATGTTTGCGGAGTGTTCCACCATCAGCAAAGGCCTTCCAGCAGAATCGGCAGGCATATGGACGCTCTCCTGTGTGGATTCGGATATGAATTTGCTGACTGCTACGGGACCCAAATGTTTTGCCACAATCGCGACATTGGAACAACCGGCCTGCCGCATCTCGTTGGCTATGCACTGCTAAGCGATGGTTCACTAGAGAACGGCCGTCAGGGAAGGTTGCACCACATTCAGCACAGGTGAGAACTCGCTCACGATGAGAAACCATATGCCTGAAAACAGATAAGATTGGCACCCATAAGATAAGATAATTATATTAAACCAATATTTAGAACCATTAAGTTATAAATGTGTACCTGCGAAGTCTTGCTCTTGAGTGAAATCGCTTGTCACATTTGGGACAAGAATAGGATCGCTCAGATGAATGAACCCAAGAATGTTTCTGCAAAGCTCGGCGATCTTTGCATGTTTTTCCGCACAACTGGCAAGCATTAGCAGGTATAGCACCAGCATGGCGTTCTCGGACATGGGCAGCTACTAACTGATCATCAGGGAAACCTTGGCCACATAACATGCAGCGATGTGGCTGATACCGAGAGTGAGACTCAGTGTGTGCCAGAAGTGCTCTCCTTGAACTGTATGATTGGCCGCAAACACCACATGAGTAAACACGACCAGACCCACTTTCTACCTCAGGCTCAAGAGGGCCCATCTCCATCTTCATGTGCAACCTGTTAGAGTGATGATAAGAGAAGATAGTATGAAAATACTCCTTTGAACCTCATTGAACACACAGCAGTTCATGAGAAAATAATGAAATACCTGGCATGCTTTTTAAGTAGATCCTGCCGATGGAATTCAAGGCCGCATGTTTGACAACGGAAATTTCCAAATCTCTCATCTCCTGTATATGGCCGGTCAGTTACCTCTTCCTCTTCTTCTTCACGTTCAACTTTGACACCACCACCTGGATGTTTTAACCTCGTGTGTTCCCGCAGGAGATGGACATCCCAGAACATTTCCCCGCATGATGAACATTCAAAGGGGCTATCGCCAGCATGAACTCTGGAACAGATACATTTTTATTGCAGCAAACCGTTTGAAAGCAAGTAATCTAAAAGCAAGTACAAATCCTCCAGTAAATTTCAGTTACCTTGCATGAGATCCAAGAGCCTTGGCACGAGCAAATCCAATTCCACAATGTTGACAAACATAGGGACGACTAGGGTCTTTAACCGGCCAGTTGGGAGGCAAAGGCTCTGGAGGTTTCTGATCTTCAACTGCCCCATTTACATAATATCCGTTTGAGGTCTCACCTCCACCACGAGAAGCTAATTCTGTCATAAGGCGCATATCTTCATCCACATACGACGAACGAGGCTGTCTCTCGGCTGGGAGCAATTTCTTGCGGCCAGGACCCGTGGCACCTTTGGGTTTACCAGGTTTCCTACCGGGCTTCTTTTTCACTCTAGCTTCGACAGGCTCACTGAAGCTTTCTGATGCTCGTCTGCGTTTCTGTGCTGGCCCTTGCTTCTGTCTGCCATCCATTCGAACATCTAGTCTCCGTGGGGAAGACAGAGGGTCATCTTCTTCCTCCTCTTCTTGTTGTTCAGTAGCTTCAGGAGCATATGCATGTATCTGAAAGCACATGGTAACAGATTCATGATACGATCAAAAGTAAATGTAATAAGTGACGAGAAAATAAATACTAGATGAGCCCATTACCTTCAGGTGATTATGCAAGTCACATTTACGGCGATAGCGAGCGCCACACAAGTTACATCCATAAGGACGCTCCACTTGATGAGCAACCATGTGGTTCATGAGATTTGCCTTTTTAGAGAAGCGTCGAGAGCAAAAGTCACACGGATATGGCCTGACTTGGCTTGCACCTGTCTGCTGGTCTTGAGGAAGAGGCACAAGCATATCATCTTCTGTTCCAGCATCACCCCATTCAGATTGGGCAACTGTAGAGACCAGGACCTGCAATAAAAAAATTGTAAAACAAATGATAATGACCAAAGGCTAACACAATACTAGAATCCAACAAAATGCAAGAGACTTACTTGACCATCATGACCAGCTTGGCCAGTTTCCCAGGCTTCACTTATGACTTCTTCTTCAATAACTTGAACTCCAAATAGCTCAGGGTCTTGGTACTGGTATTGCCCTCCAGATGAGTCCACTACTGTTTCTCCATCAACCAGCTCACCTCCAGCAATTACTTCTTCTCCAGTCATAATTTCACTTTCAGTGATAACATCCTCAGTAATAACATCATCTCCAGACATAATGTCACCTCCCGAAATAACTTCGCCATCTGTTACTATGTGGTCACCTTCAATAACTTGTTCTCCACTTACAATATCTCCGCCAGTAATAACCTGAAACTCAAGGAGGAAAGAAAAACAATAAAAACTAGCTCTAGAACAAATGTAACTGGAACAATACTCATTGGATCTGAATAGCAAAAATTACACTTTACATCTAGTACGCTCACTGTTCACCAACACACGTGCTGGAGACAAAGTCTAATATCTAACGAAACAAATTTGATAAGATTAACAAGAAATTGAAATAAGAAAGAAATGAGTAGCAACGCTATTTATCTATTATTTTACTCTCTCTCTCTCTTTGATGACAATAAATGTCTCATCAAAGTGCACAATTAGGAACAGGAGTTACTAGATTGATCCAACAAATAAAAAAGAGAAAAGAAAAAAAAGTGGAGGACATACATTGAAGAGACTTACATCTCCACCAACAACAACTTCATGGTGAGCATCATCCAAGAAAACTGGGGAGGGTTTAAGTCCTGCTAAAGCAGTCAATCCCGCAGATGTCACAACTACTTGATCTTGAGGTAGCTGAACACAATCAGATGCCACACCAAAGATGACTTCACCTTCAACTCCTGAGGCGCCAGTAACGGCCTCTTCTTCCTCCTCCTCATCATCATCCTCTGTCACCCAACTCACTGTCCACTGAGGCTCAGTTTCAGCCGAGTCAGCCATCATTTGTGATCAACAAAAAATAATTTGAACGAAAGATGAAATTCACCTGAAGAAAGAAAATAAAAGCATTAACTAAAAACTGTAAAGTATTGAAAAAGTAAGATGAATTTTGAGTACAAAAATTGATGTAGCAGAATATAAATATCAAACGGAAACAATATTGAAGGAAAATATAAAACAGAACTGCAAGTTGACCTAGTCCTCCCCACTTTCCTCCAACATAAAGTCAGAGAAGCCTACACAAATGGCAGATAAGTGTCCCATAGGTAAAACAACCTAAAAATAAAAAAATAACCTATTTGACAGAAGGCACGAAAGTAAATAAAAGTAGGATGACGAAAGGAAATGGAAGACTTGCGTGGAAGATGCCACTAAAAAATCACCATTTCCAAAATTATGGCCGATGTTGAGACTTCGCATTCAGCAAAGACGCATATTAGTAAACATACGAAAAGGGTTATGTTTATTTCGAAAATTGAGGTTAAAACATAGCTCGGCTTCAAAATTTGAGCGAGGAAAGGCGAAGTAACACAGGGATACGGGTATTCCGAGTCCGATTCTGTCATGGAAACCAGCATTTGGAGCAACAGAGCGAGACGCTTGGGTTTCGCTCGTAATTGCCGTAGGTTATACGGTCCTTGAAGATTAACATAACCCCACCCAATAAAAATAAAACATATCTAAAACCATAAAATAGCATTTGCCATCACTACAGAAGTCTTCAGAGAGGCAGCTACAGTAGCGCCCGACCAACTCCTTAAATATATTCTAGCGTGGAACGAAACACATAAAATGGAAGCCGAGCGCTTCGCCCGCTAGGCTTAGCATAGGCCAAGCTACCGCAGAACACCAAGCCAAGCTGACGGTGGCAAGGTCCGTCTTCATTCCGGGGTAGTAACAGAGTTTGAGTTACGCAAAAATACAGCACAAATGATTACCTTAACTTCATGTCACCAATCAGATAAACAAACACAAGCTTACGAAACTTTTAAACACAGAAACATAACCCAATTTCTACTGACTGAAACGGCATCAGCAGCCTCCATTTGTAACGTATGCTTTCAGAAACTGCTTTGTCCTCGGTTGCGTCCCATCGATAGCTATCGAAGTAACCATAACCCCTTCCCCGTTTTCCCGTCGCCACCACTCGTTTTTGCGGGCGTAAAATTGCAACTATTTTAGTTGTTCCGAAAATTTGAATTTTATTTCCAACCTTTATCCTAAATACTGTAGGATCAGGGCCTAAAATTCGTATTTTTCATTCGGGTCTCTTTCCCGCGTAATCATCTTTACGTCACACTTCGATATATCGAGTTGAGTGCGGTGGGAGGGGAGGGAATGGGGGAAGGTGGGGGCTGGAGCGGGGGTGGAGGGGAAGCAGGTGCAGAACAATCATAATAAGGACGAAATGCAGTGTCAAAATTGTGCATTTTCGCGTGGTAATTTAAGTATTGCATGTTATCAACTTCATAATTTAATCAACTCTTTTGCGAGCTTCCTGTTTGCGCTTAATGGTTAAGCGCTGTCCTTGTCCGTTTCATGATATGCGTGATAACCTCTGGGAAACTTCATTGACAAGAGAAATGTCATAAAGGTGAAGGCTACTATTCCCAGTGATGTGGCTCTGCTGTTCCTCTTGTCATGTTAAATTTCTGAAATTAGAAAAATAAAAAGAGAGTAGTCTTCTCTAATTTTTATTTTTCTGCATTTTTAGGCATTGGTCGCTGTCAACAATAAATTTAGTTTTATTAATTTTCTAGTGAGCGTCTGTTGATTTCTGATGTGTGGGTCATGATGGTTGATCCGTCTACTGAAGATGATGGCATCCTGCGTGAGTGGGCTCCACTATCAAATCTTCTCGGCCAAATCCCACCCAAAGCCCAAAGAGGGTTATTTACTGGAGACCTTAATCTCACCTGTATTGCAGCGTTACCAGACTTTTTAGCAATTGGCACCAATCATGGGCTTGTTTATTGGTATGATCGACGAACCAATGAGCTTCAAAGGCTGCGATGTGAGGTATGCATTGTCCGCTGTCTCGTTTAGTAACTGGACAAGTATGATAAAAGTTATAATGACTCGTAATTACTTCAATTTCAGAATACTATTTGTGCCATAACATGTATTGCTGTGGTTTCCACTGTTGACTATATGATTGCAGCAGGAACTAGTATTGGAGTTGTTAGTGTTTTCTTGGTACCCAAAGTTTCTCCCAGTGACATTCCTGATATTTTTAAGACAAATACAAAAAAACAGGTAATGGATCATCATGGTGGCAATTTTTTGTGTCTACCAAAGATTTTTTTATTGTCACATGTTGCTTCCAGATAGAGCGATACACAGTTGGAGATTTACATTCGACACCAATATCAGCTGTAGAATGGAGTCCAAATGGCATGAAGTTGTTCAGTGGGGATCAAAGTGGCATAGTTGTTCTCACTGAAATTGATTATTACATGGTAAGTGGATCGTGTCAGAGCCTTGTTTTGAAGTTATTCAAAGCATTTAAGTTTCATTGACATCATAAAATTTCCCCTATTCAGCATCTAAGCAAATCCATAGAAATTCTAAATGAGAAGTATGAAGTGGTCCAACTCAGCTATAATTCTAGCAATCAACTCCTACTTGTCTCAACTCTATACCGAACAATAATGTGTCACAAGAGTGCAAGTGACAATTCGTGGAAAGTTTCCCAAGTTGGAAACAAGGAAAGAAAAGTGTGAGTGACTCCTGTATGACTGTACTATCTGTATTAGGTTCAGGTTAATGTAATAGTTTGTTCTAATTTCTCTTTTGTAGATTGGGCAAAATGGGTGCAACATTCCTGAACAACCCAAAAAATCCCCGATCTCCTGTAGTTTTCTGTAGCCGCCCTGGTTTAAGACTTTGGACAGCAAACAAAGATGGCACTGTAGAAAAGACCCTTATTTTCAAAGTAAGATCTCCTCAGCAGGTTACAGTGATGTATTTATTTGTGTTCTAGTTTTAATTTTATGCTGTTTCTGTATGTGAAGGAATCAGTGCATGGTCAGTACCCTCTTATTCAACTCTTAAATCCAACCAAGTCCCGGGGGAGACATTCTCGAGGAGAACTACAGTTTGGACCACTTTTGAATTTTAAAGATAATTTATTGGTGACTTACACTTCTGATGCTTTTTTAATTTTGGACTCAAGTACAATAAGTGTTAATGCTGCTCTATTTGACGTACAAAAAATATCTGCCCTGTGCGTCTCAAAATCAGAAATATTTGTTCTTGAAGGAGAGCGGCACTTGATACGTATAGGGTTCTCTCCTGAAGATACATCCATAAAGTGTAAGTGTAAGCCAACTTTGCAGCACGCTTGCTACTCCATTTAAATTTTAAAAGTTGACCTTAAATTACATAAAACCAAAATACAGTATATGCCTATTTTATCAGCTTCTTCAGATGAGTCTTCATCAGTGCGAAGTGGAGCTTTTGCCAGTCAATTGTTTGAACTCACTACAAAGATCAAGGATGCCTCAATCACATCTGTAATACCTAAAAAACTCTCACCTCTCTTTTCTCCAACTAAAAGGTGATAGAGTAGTATTGTTAGTTTGCAGCTAGACTTTTCTGGCTGGGTTCAATATTCCTCAATTTAATCCTTTTGCAGCTCTGGCTCTAGTGATGGAGAACAAATATCAGAATGTTTTGAAGCTCAAGAATTACCACCTGTGTTGTCACTGAATTCTCTCAATGAAGGTGCTGCTGAAGGGTTACCTGAACTCCTAGTTAGTTCTCCATCTCATTTTACTCCTTCAGAAAAAGAAGTATATACTAGAGCCCAAAAAAGTGATATTGCCCCGCAAAGCAGGTAAGAATTCGGAAAAATAAATGGTACCCTTTTCTTACTGAAGCTAAACCATTTACAATCACATTCAATTTTTTTTCTCTTTAAAAAAATAAAAAATATAGTACATTATTGCATTCAGAATTACTGGACCAAATAGCTCACGAACAGTTTGAAGACATTGTTTACCAGCCCAAAAGAAAAACTAAAAAGAACAAAGGCAAGCGAATCACAGCAGCAACAGGTAAGTATCAGCTATTTTTGTTTTTGCTATTCGTATTTTTTTCTTGGGGTCTAACAGAAAATGAATGAGTTTGGTTGAGCTGCCTTACACATAGTAACTGCCTTAAGACTCCTAAACCTGGCAATGTGCCAACATTCTAATTTTAACTGAAGGAAGCCAGTTTGGAGGGGGAACCAGCTTCTTTGTGTACAAACAGTTCCTTGTGGTTTTGCTCTGTCATTGCTGGAAGCATGGCTTGGTATTTTGGATCTGGCAATAATTTCCTGTGGATGAAGTTTAATATGGAGTTCTGTGGTATGCATTTCATTATTGCACAAATCTAGGCCCCAGACCGTAAAATTTTTCTGTTTGTCTCTTCTAACCTGAAGATCCAAGCTTAATTATTGTTTCATTTCACTTAAGGCACTGAATCTGGCTCAGATTCTACTAGCGTTGTGTCGACTACCTCAGAAAATGATGATATTTGGGCCAGTGAGCGTTTGGATGCAGGTAGTGAGTGGAGCAGTATTAATACTTCTCGCCGTTCATCAGTTGATACACAGGTCAGTGGCTTGAAAGTCTTGGCAAGATTGATTTCTTATTACAAATTCTAATCTTTTGGTTGGTTTTCCTTGCAGTTGAAACCTGAGAACCTTGGTAACCTTGGACAGCACAATGAAGAAGACATCAAAGAATCTTTAGCTGCCAAAGAGCGCCTGCTTGCTAAAAAATATAATTTAGAGGAGGCTCTTGGCATCAAAAGTAACGAAGATGAGGCAACAAATAATAAGTGTACGCCAACGCAGTCTTGTGTCAACGAAGAGTCGTCTAATAATCTTGCTTGCGCATTCAAGGATTGTGAGCAAGAAATACATTCAATTGAAGAGTCTATAGAAAGCACTTCACAAACGTTAGCTGTATCAGAAGGCACAGAAGCAAGTGATAAAGAATGTTTGGACGATGAGGAGATGACATCATTCAGCAGTGTTATTAGCTATGGCGCTCCATCAGATTGCAGTCAACTGCCAAGCCAACATTCTTCCCTTGCTTTAGAACTGAGCGGTAAGCTTATATCATACGTACATCAATTTTTCAAATCATGGTTAATAAATTAACCTTAACCATTCCAACAATTTCTAACATTTTATGTAACAATCAAATGTTTATTATTGTTGTTGTGTGTTTTAGATGTCAAAGAAGAAAAGAGCAGCTCTGCTGTTTACAAGGAGGCTATGGAAGCAAGTGGCTGGTTGCAGTTCAATACGCCAAAACCTGTGATATGGGTTGCTGTGTGTAATTATTATCTTGTAGCAATCGATAGCCATGATGTTGTTCATTACTGTAGTTTAGGTGGTCTTGGCTTGAAGTGGCAACGAGCAGATTGCAAAGCAAACCAGTTGGTTATGTCTCCTAACTCAAATTGTTTGTGGCGTTTGGAGAATAATCTTGCTTATGCACTAAAAAACCCAGCCACTTCAGGTAATGTATGATATTTAATATGTTAAAAGTATTCAATTTTGCTCCAGTTTGACTCATTACATTTTTTTTTTTAAAGGTCCCCATGGAGAGGAATGGCAACTAGCTGAAACAAATGTACGCAGTTTAGCAGTTGCTGATAATGTTGTTTGGCTTGTGACACAAGGAGGAGAGGTTTTCTATCAGAAAGGGCTGAATAAAGATGTTCCTCAAACAGAATCAATCAAAATTGAGAAACCCTGTGAATGGCCAGCTGTGAAAATCGCGAGCTTCTCTCAGGTAATTTGTTTCTTGTCAGGTTTCTTCTATTTTAACATCAATTGTTAACTAAATCTTTGATATGTACCAATCACTACAGATTGTATGGCTCCTGTCATCGACTGGAGAGGTTTACATGCGACTTGGAGTTTCATCTGCTAAGCCTGAGGGGTTGGATTGGAAACGAGTTAACATTCCTGTACCTGGAAGTGTTGTTGACATTGCTCTCGGTTCTCAAAGAACTGGCTGGATTGTAGACAATAGTGACACCATTATGTTTTCTGTGGATCATATGGAGCACGATCCCCATTGGTGGCAGGCAAGTGTAGTTTAAGATGCAATTTACAATTACATTTTGTCAAAATTTTGGCCTGTAACATTACAGAAAATTCCTTTTCTCTTTGTGCCTAGGTTTTGATAAGTGACTACATTTTTCAGCAGACCTCACCACTTCAAAGGTTGCGTTCAAAAATTTCATTAAAAAACTTGCGTCCAGCATTACCTGGGCTCCAGAGTCCTTTGTCTTGTGTTGCCTGCGGCCAAGATTCAGTTTGGATCTTTCAAAACAACTCCAATACTCTGCATGTCAACAAATCTAAGATTACAGGTTCATTTACAAAGTACTTTGTCACTTTTTCTTAATTCTGTCTCATATGTCTAAATTGATAAATTAATTTCTATTTGTTGAACTAGGACATTCCTGGTCACGAATCAAGCTGAAAGGGTCTCCTGAAGGCATACGCTGGCAAAGTGTCACTTCTGAAGGAGTTTTTGAGACTGAGGGCCAAGTTTGGCTTTTGTCAGCTAATGGTGATTTATTCTGTTCTCAGCCCTACAACAGTAAAAATTTAAAGGTATTATGTGTGTAAATCTATTCAGTTTTCCTCCAACCATTTATTATACGATTGTTCTCATTGTTTCCAGCAAATCTCATTGCCATCATCTGATGGAGCAGTATGTCTAGCCGCATCCTCCCATGCTTTGTGGCTGCTCACATCGTCTGGAGCAATCTACATAAGGCAAGGTCTCAGTGAGACTTGTTTAGAAGGCAAAGATTGGACCCAACTCAGCCTCGCACAAATTGGTTAGTTCAGTTCATGACAGTTCTGTGATGTTTGTGAATTATTTTAACTAATATCTTTTCCAATGTTCTCATAAATTTGATTGCAGAGGATGTGCAACTGAGCCATGTGTCTTGTGGACTAGATGTTGTATGGGCCTGTGATACAGTTGGTAATATGCACATGACAGTGAGTTCGCCACATGCTATGGCCACAGCCACTTTTTCCCCTGTTTGGATTCGTGTACCAGATAATAAAGAACAAAAAAAATTATATTTTATTAAGGTATGTTTCATATTCCAAGCATCATTTTTCATTTAGTTTTCTTCTATGCACAAGGAAACCAATTTTATCATTTGTATTTTAGGTGTTTGTTGGTCCCCAAACGTATATGGTCTGGGCATTGGATAATCAAGGCAGAATTTATGTCCGAGAGGCAATTTTTCCAGATTTTCCTCTTGGTGCTGACTGGGTAGCTGTCACAGGAATAACGGCTGTAGATTTGAGTGTGAGGTAAATTATTACTCAATACTGCATTCAATCTGTTCATACTCATTGTTTTATGGTTTAAGGTTTATGTTTTATGCCGTCACATTGTGTGTGTGTGTGTGTTTCTAGCGCAACAGCTGTTTGGGCTTTGTCGGTGAAGGGTGATGTGTATAGGCGTCAAGGAATTACCCAAAACAACTATATTGGAGACTATTGGAGGAAAATACCAGGTTCTGTTGAAGCTTTAACAGGTGTGTTAATAATAATACCAATTAATAAACAAGTCTAAATCGCATTTACACTAGCCTTGGCTCATGCAGTCTATAAGCTTTAATGGTGAAAAAAAAAACGTGAAAAATTTAGGAACATGAGAAAGAATGTTGCATTTTAGACCCTAACAAGAGTTCTTCCTTTCAGCATCTATGTGTGACAGACTGTGGGGCATTGACAAGAATGGAACACTTCTCCGCCATACCCAACTAGTCGTCAGTTTGCACCCAGGTCATGTGACACCAGCTGCACCTCAGCCGTATCAACTGCCCTCCACAGGAGCTGAAGAAGACTGGGAGGTACTATAGTATGATATGATAAGTGGGTAAAAGCCCTACATGTTTGACCTCTTCTCAATCTATTTCCTATTGTATGAATGTACTCAGTCAATTGTTGTTTATGAGCAGGCACCAGGGGGTAATGTCATATATTGTAAGTGAACATGTATTGACTCTGATGCCCCACCCCACCTGGTTTTATTTAGCTTTTAGGTGCTAACAAGGAGACATGAAATATTTCAGTGATTTTTATAAACTGGCATTTATCAGTGATTTTTATAAATTAGCATTTTTAAATGATTTTTACTAATTTGCACTTTTTATTGATTGTTTTGTATTTTCATTGTCTCATGCTAAACAATCAACTTTTTATCTTTACTTTTAAAAATGTTTCTAGGTGTTTGTACCAAATATTACTATTATTCCAAAGATGTTATAATTTGAACTAAGGTTTTGATATAACTGTGTCAATTAACTGTGATTTTATTACACTATACAACACTTTGTAAAGTGTGAGGTAACTCATCCATTGTAAAACCCTGTAGGGGGTTTGGTGCTAAGAAAGAAGTGATTTTAGTATTTGTAAGTTCTTATGTTTTCAATGAAGCGCTGTTTGGTCTGCTTTGGCAGTCAAAGCAGATTTAGGTGGAGGTCCTAAAACTTCTCCTTCCTCTACCTTGACCTCTGCTGTGCTGTCAGGCTAGGTAAGGCATAATGAATTGTGTTGAGGTGGAAAGCCTGAATCTAATTAAGTCAATGAAGTGGTGACAGATGAGCAAGGTGGTGCTTTTTGCTCTGTGTTGCCTGCTTAAGTGTTAGCATGCACTTTCCCCCTAAATTGTGGGGAAAAGAGTGTACATACAGAAAATAAAATAAAATTGCTTATTTTATTAGCAATAAACACAGCCCCTTGTGTAAACTGGTGATGTAGGTGATTTCCCCTCTTGTGAGTGTCTGTGATAAATGAATCTAAAATTGATTTGCCCAATCACCCTATGTTATATCTCAAACCTCTGAAGAATTATACAATATTCAAACACAGCTAAAGAAAAACTTCTTTTAAAATAACCACTTTACTACAACCAGGCTAGCATTACTACCTCATGGTAACGTTGACATTTCTACACCCCATTTGAAAGTAGGATCACAACAGACTTAGGCGAGGGTCATCCTTTGGCCACTGTCAAGAACACTGGATGAGCCCCCTTTCTGCCCAGCTCCAAATTTTTTATATCTAGCAGGATAAAATAATGATTAGTATTTGCAGCACACATGAACCAACATCCACATTAATCAGGCGTACATACATCTGAAAAAATTTGTTGCGTTCTTGAACTGTTAGGGAAGGTCTGGTGTTTTTGGCAGCAGCATCTATATGGGATTGAGTCACCTTAAAAGATACCTGCAAACAATGTAACCTTGTTTTAATGTGAGCCTGTTTAGTACAAATCTGGTCAACCAGAGCATTTGCCAGTGAAAGTAAGGTAGCAACATGTGTGGTGTCAAGAACTTTACATAGAGTCAAAGACTGACCTCTTTGCTATTTTTTAATCCAGCTGCATCTGAAAATTAAGATAATAATAAGAGGAAAAGGCAAGAGCATAATAGGAATGAAAGAGTTGACATTTACCTTGAATCTGCGATTGCTGAACTTCAACTGTACTTAGCTGAGCTGTGTACAGGATGGATTGCAAATCAGCCCCTGTAAACCCTTTCGTACCTGCAGCAATATTTGAAAAGTCCACATTTTTGTCTAAATTCATTTTTCTACTTAAAGCCTGCAATATTGCTAGTCTATTTATCTGGAAATAGAATAAATGATCACAACATGATGTCTCAGTCAAACAAAAACCAAGTAAATGATGCATTTGTGATGTGATGGGTTGTTTTGAAGCTGTACCTCATCAGGCAAGGGGCACAGCACAGACCGGTCCAGTCGACCTGGCCTCAGCAAAGCAGGATCCAACAGATCAGGTCTACTTGTGGCTGCCAACACCCATACACCAACTAAGCTCTCTACACCATCTAGTTGAGTTAATAGCTGATTGACCACTCTATCAGTTACACCTGTATTGTCATGACCTCTCCTAAAAAATAAAAAAACAAAACAAAAACTTGTGCATTAGAAAAAAATCTTTTGACGGCTGTGTGACTAAGTAGGTTCACTTCGTCATACCTGGGGGCAAGACTGTCAAACTCATCAAAGAAGAGAACGCAGGGCTTAGCACTTTGAGCCCTAAAAAACAACAAAAGAAAGACATTTCAGAACATTTTTTTAAAGCAACGGAGATAAGTTGTGGACAGTCACACAGAGACTTACTTAAAGAAAACATTTCTTACTGCTTCTTCACTAGCACCAATGTACTTAGACAGCAATTCTGGGCCCTGAACGATGTACAAATATTAAACTGAACACAACTTCCAGCAAAATACATGATATCTGTCTCTACTCACCTTGACACTAATAAAGTTGAGACCACATTCACTTGCAACAGCAGCAGCTAACATTGTTTTTCCCGTACCAGGAGCACCATATAGAAGAAGGCCAGACTGTTGTCTCAAGGGTGAATTTTTGAAGAGCTCTGGATACTGGAAACAGAGGTCAAGGATTTTATCAATGACAGTTTTCTTTATCAAGTTTAGTCATCAATTGCTGTCAAATTCTCTATCTAATCAAATTGCTATTCTTTTAAAAATGAAATGATCCACCATCACACTAATAATATAACCAGCCTCAGCTTCCTGGCCTTAGGCTAGTAAAATAGCAAGGGTACAAAACATTTTATTTACCATAACTGGCCACTCAAATACTTCTTTCAACTCAGTCTTGACGTCTTCAAGACCCCCAATATCATCCCAACCAAAAGCAACACTTTTTTGCAAATCAACACCACGCAGAAGCATAGGTGTACTGTTGGACAATGCTTCCATTATATCACAATCCTCTATAACTGGAGCTTTACTGGATATTACTGCAAAACAATCAATATAATTGAGATAAAACAAAGTAACAGCTTGTCAGACAGAAAAGATTCATGTGGAAGTCGTGCCAAACCTTGTCTCATACATGCAGCCAAAGTGGCTTTGTCAACCAAATCAGCTAAATCCTGAAGACAGTACCCTTCTGTATTCTTGGCACATTCTTCAACAGCTTGAAAGCACTTAATATCTCTCACTTCCCCATTTGCCACCTTTCTATTTAAAATCTTCATGAAAGTGCATTGTCTATCATTCTATACAGGAAGGACATAGAGAAGGCATTATAATTTTAATTTAATTCTTTACAAATGATTGTCACCAAAACAGAAAGTTCTACACTGCATGGTTTAATGAGTACCTTAGATAGTTCAGGCAGCTCTAAGGTAGTGTTGAAGAAGTGGACACCTCGAGCAGGCACTAAAGATGATGCAACAGATTGAATAGATGGTGCTGTTGCAATGATAGCAACTGAATGACCAGATTGTAGACTACTTAGAAGCTGGAGAATCATTCTGCCAACTCTGTTGAGCAGTTAACAAAAGAATTAATAATCAGATTAATCTATTGGAGAGAGAGTTAACAAATTATAAACTGAGCAAACCTGTTAAAATATGCTGATATTTGGCTGCTGTGGTCCTGATCTTCAGCTACACCAGCAATGCATTCAATATCATCTAAGAATAGAATGGATGGCTGGTGGTAAACGCAGTCATCAATGAAGCTTTGTAAATGTTTGAAAAGTGATTCCACAGTTTTTCCTGCGACAGCAAAAAAGGGAAGATAAAACGCTGATGTTTACTCGATGTCTAGAATACGAATGGCAGGATTGGCTGACCTTTGAGAGGCCTGCATTTGATGACTGCATTGTGAACATAATGAGGAGAACCCTGAAGTAAGTCACAAAGGGCCCCTGCTGCGCTACTTTTGCCACAACCACTCTTTCCTAAACAAAATGACAAGAATTATGATGGCAAAGGGGAACTCCTGATTTAAAAAATAAATCATATGCCTTACCTAAAATTAACAGATTATTTGCTATTTTTGGGAATTCTTGATAGCGATTGACAGATTCGTGAAGACCTAATGTTATTTTAAGAGTTGAAAGTCCTTCATTTATAATGCCTTGAAGGTGTCTTTAAAAAAGAAAAGGTCTGCTGTATTTGCAAGGAATCAGATAAGAAAATTTAGAACTAACATGAAGTATGGTTTTGGCAGTGATGACTTACATTAAGTGGAGATCACCTGAAATATTTTTTGGAATGAAAGGTTTAATGGACGGCAGCTTCTCTTGATTTTTTACCCGCTTTTCCAGCAGTACATGCACTTTTCTTGCATCTAATGATCCAGGAAGTGCAAGAAAATGGTCTAACGTTGATGGCAGCAAATGCACTTCTGCATCAACAAAGCCTTTCTCAGTAGGAATGGTCAATATCATATTATTGCTCAGAAGAAGACCAGTTGGGAGCTGATCTACATACTGAATTAAATTCTTGCCCAGATCAAAACAATTTAAGGCCTGGAAAATCATGTGTCATTTTTAAAGAAATTTGAAAATCAACAGGCACTAAACAATAAAAATTTGAGTATAAAAACTGCTCAAGCTACTCACATAATATGGTAAAAGGTCTATTCTCTCGCAGTGAGCATTGCGTGTTCTAGGTAAAAAATCAGATAAAATAACCCTTGATCCAATTTCAAGACACAGACTACCTCTCAGATTGCTTGACAAGTAAATACATCTCTTGTCATATGAATAATAATTTTCTTTCGTGGCTAATGATGTGGTATTTAAATTTGTTATACGAATGTATGCATGAGGACTGTCAGAAGACTGGCGATCTGAGACCTTTTCTGTACTACTTTCTTGGTTTGGTTTATCAGAATCTTGCAGTCTTCTTATTTTACAAAATAATGATTTCTGTTGCATGTCATTGAAGTGGAATAGCTTTTCCATACAGGGCCCCGGGAGAAAGGCCTCTAAGGGTCCAAGAAGATTTTGATCATTGCAAAGAGGATGCACTCTAAAAATATACTGAAATTTCTCTGTTGTCAAACTGTGGTTGATGGGCTCCTCTTCATTAGTAATATCGTTCTTGACAGCACTCAATACTGAGCTTGCAAAGTGTTTGCCAGAGCTCACAATACTATTCATCACACTTTTATCAATGTTTTCAGCAGTTTTAAAAGCAGGTGCTTTCATATTCATAGGGTCTCCTACCACTACTTCTGTCATCTGTTCCAATCGACCAACATCTACATCTGGATCCATACAATCTACAAAGTAAGATTAAGAGCTATAAATTTTACTTTGATGTTCATGAGACTATTAAAAAGAAATGACATGGACTAAGTACTGAAATTTGTCAATCATAATTTTATTCCTTACCGACATGAAGAACAATAGGAAGAGAGTTACTAATCCAAGCAGTAAGCAGCTGATCTCTCCAGATTACACGAACTTGGTCAAGTAGGGTTGATTGAATTAAGCTACTACTAGACTCCTGAGAAGATAAAATATTATAATACCTTCAATAGTTGCCAAATTTTCATGCAAACAAGACACTTTTTCAATTTTTTCCCAAAGGGTGTGTTTTAAAGGTGTGTGCATTTTATGTGTTTGTAACTACTAGTGGTGGGGTCAGCAACGATTTTCCTAAAATGTCTTACGCTACGCGGATCGCCTTACGCTATTACAAAAGAGGGTAGGCATCCACAAAGAACCTTTACACTATGACGGACGAGCCACCCCTCGGCTGACTCTATGACAAACGAGTTACCCTATGCGGCTCGTCATCGGCAAACGTGTTTTAGCGTAAGGGCCGCTTATTACACATTTTCCATCCGGATGGATATCCGTCAGGCCGTTTGCTTTAGCGTAAGAGCCTTGTCATAGCGTAGGGATCCGTGAATACCTCCATAATAGAAACCGCAGCGGATTTTTCGGTTTAGCGTAAGAAACGTGTCTTAGCGTAAGGGAAAACGTTGCTGACCCCACCATAAGTGGTGACATGCCAAACACACTTACGATCATTTCCAAGTCATCTGAAGACAAAGGTGACATTACAACTCGACGAAGACAAGGAGGGTTACTGCCAATAATCAGAGACACAATATCGCCTTCCTTCAAGCCCAAATTTGAGGCTACAGTAGCATTGATACCAACAACATTCTCTTCTTTGAAATTTGTTGGCTGCCAGCTAAAATAAGCAGTCTTACTGTTGCCAAATACGATTTTAATGGTTGAATCCTGAAAAATTAAGGGAAAAGTATTGTAAGAGTTACCGTAGTTGTAACGTAAGTATCAAATGGTGCCCCACAATGACACTCACATATTCTAACTTCTTGATGTCATTCAGCCGTTTCGCCCATTTTTCAGGTAAAAATAAGAAAGAAGTCTTTGATCTCACAAACTGAACACAAAATGAATCTCCAGACATTGTGGGGGCTACAGGGTAATGAGGGTAATGTAAAAACACACAATAAAATGGTTTTGGTTAAGAACTATTCTTCTAGGGTAAAGTCACTCATCAAACACAACTAGCTAATTTAGTGAGGAATTAAGAGAAACAGTGACATTTTGTCTAAGATGACATTGCAAAATTAAAATCTTTAAACACAAGAAGATAGGTGTTGGGCTTGTGTTTACGTTCTTTCTTCTTCATTTCGTGCTTCTTCCAGTCTTCGTTGACGAAATGCAGCCAACCACCATGTCAAAAATGTCATTCCTATTTTGCAGATTGGCAAGTGAAAACTGCTAGGGTCGGTTTAAAACTGCAGTGCGCAGTTTCCAGCGCTTAATTAACGATCCATGCTTTGTTCATGAGCAATGATGACCAACATTTAAATACGATGAATGCATGAGAGTCCTTTCCAATTTCTCATACCTACTGTTGTTTTTTTTTTGTCTATCTCTCTCTCCTTCTCTTTCGTCTTTCGCAACAACAAATACAGCTGACGTTTATGTTATGTTAAATGATATATTTCTCTCTTCTTAGAGCAGGACATGCGGTATATTTTTAGTTCAAAACAGGCTGAGAGATTTTAATTATAAACCATAATAGCAATAGTTTGTTGAGTGTTAGGATAAGTGGTTATAGTCAAAGCGGTTCTGTGAGATTTGAGGTTGTGTTCCAATGTTAGAGAATAACATCTTCAAACTTTTGTTTCTTTTAGAGAAGTGTTATCTGAGATCATAGTTCTGAAAGGTGAAGCGAATTTCAAACTTTTATCTCAATTTTAGGTGTTGTCACTTATTTTTGTTATTTGCTCAGGTAATGGAAACTTGCTGTGCATCGTCATGTTATTGACAAACCTTTTGGAATGGGTAAAGGATTAAGTGGAGTTCTGCACTGTTTAAGGATACCGCTAGTGTCTTAATTCTTTGTGCTTTTGTGCTCTGAATACAATGCTTACATCAGCTTCATTGACCACGTGTCTAACACGATTTAGGTAAGTATTCACCTTGCTTTCGGAATTTCTATAACAACTGCATAACTCTCATACCTTTTCTTTCAATTTAGTTATGAACATCCTCGTAACTTATCACTTGGGAAATATGCAACTAGGATTTCGAACTTTATCCGTTATCTGTCATCAGGAGAAGTATCGACAGCATTACGTCCATTTTATTTTTCTGTGCACCCGGATCTCTTTGGACAGCATCCAAATGAAAGGGTATGTCTCTGTACTACTTCATTCACTTACTTTTTCTAGAAATTTCCTTACATGTTTATTTGGAACTATCCATAAAATGTTTCAGACAGTCAATGAAAACTCTCTGAAACAGTTGAGCTCCTACTTAGAGAGCCTTCAACAGAGACGAAGTGTGCGACCCATCTCCCTCAAGTTCTACTTGAGATCACAAGCTGATAAGGGTAATGTCTTTAGCCAGTTTCTTTCCTGAATCTTTACTGACAAACCTTCTGACCTTCTATACAGACTAAGTTATTTATTTACAATTTTTCAACAGGTTTATTTCGAATGGTTACATTAAACCTTCGTGAAAGTGATTCACGAAATGCAGTTTTAAGAGTACTGAAATCCTGTAACCTTCCAACAACATATGTTGACAATATAACCAGTCCTCCTCCTCCTCCTAAAAAGTCAGACACTTTTACCAGGTCCCAGAATAAGTCAGCTGCATGGGAAAAATATGAAAGTATGTTTAAAGATAATGATGATGCTCAGATTATTCGTGGTATGGTAAGGAAAGCTAAAGAGGACGAATGTTTACTGTAGGTATCCACTTTTTGTAAGGAATGATGAATTCGGAATGAGCTGTGCGTAATCTGGTTCTTCTATGTTTGACCTTCAGACCATGGTTAGAGAAGAATATCAAAGATGCTGCCGAAAAACAAGCTGCCTGTTATCCTTTACAAGAGGAAGTCAAACGATTACAAATGGAACTTGCTCTAAATCTTGGTCTTAAGGAAATTATTTGGGACTGTGGGTGGAATGTAACTCACTTTCGTGGGTGTTTGCAAAGTTTTCAAGCTCTTGCTCGTGACCATCCTGAGCAAATGCAAGTTCTGAAAGGTAGGCATCCTCCTGGATTTGTTTTACTTGCTTCAAGATGAAGTCTTGTACTTAGTAAGAAAAAATCAACAACTTAACTTGGACATTTGCCGCAGGGAGAACTTTAGTCTTTGGCAGTGATACAGGTGTTAGCTGGAAAGGCAATGTTCTTTTAAGTAGTGGTGAGGTGCGTCATAATTGGCTGGATGTAAGTGTCTATGATTGATGTGTATAACTGTCCCTTATTCATGCTGTACATCAGTAACAAACAACAAAATTTTATTCCTTCATAGTTTTTGAAAAACGTTTGGCAGCAAGATGCAGCTCTAGTAGTAATACCTGCTATGCAGAAAGCTGTATCCAGAGTTCTTAGGGATATTAAAGTTGTCCACAGGTTGGTAATGAGATGTAAGGACCCTGTTTGTGCTCAAGTGAAAGTACCCTCATCCTTCATCTGCAATTTTATCAAAGGAAATTCCAGCCTTACATAATGGCAAGAAATTATGCCAATCAGCTGCGTCATTTGGTCACTTCTCTTAGTGATCACCAGGGATCTAGAGGATACCCAAAATCGTGGCCCAAAAGTTTAGAAAAGTTTGAGTTGGTAGTTGAACCGTAAGTCAAATTCTTGATTATCTGTCAATAAATTTAGTTTCCTATTTTCTAATCACTGGATTTCATCTTCAAGGGAAGCGGGTCCTCTCATGTTATCACCTACTGGTCAGTTCATTGTACCATCATCATGTCCTGCTTCTCTGTTAGTTAGTTTCTTAAGCGAAAATATGTCAGAAGCAGAACGCTTGCTCAACAACTACAAAATGTGAGTCTAAACTGAAATTTTCCTTCGTTTTTTTCTTTTTACCCTAATATTGATTTTGATTTGACTTTCTTTGCTCAGGAATAAGCATGTGGAGCGAGATTTGCATCAGCGATGCATAGATGAATTCAAGCTAGTATCTCTGCACAAAGAAGATAATGTAACTCCAGATTTAATGATAGCTTGTTGTACCAAACTGTTAGAACACAAGCATCAGCTGAGTGCTTGTTTTGAAGGCCGCTGCTTGTGGATCACAAGTTACTATTCTATCATGTCTGATGGACAGATATGTATACCATGGAATTGGAAACTTTGAGTCAAATGTGAAAGTATGTATTTCCTTATTTCACTGATTAATACAACCTTAAAAAATATTAAGTAAAGCGCTACAAAGTTTTGATTTTCAATGTAAAAGTTGATAAGAAAGTGCACTTGTCTGTGTAAAAAATAGTTTAGTACTTTGACAGTTAATAACGATAGTGATCTGGCTTGTAAGGGCCTTCAGCAGGGATGCCCAAGTATGCTGCTTGGTCAGCATTCAACTTTGTCAGCTTAACACCCAAATGATCCAAATGGAGAGCAGCCACTTCTTCATCGAGCTGGAAACGAGGGGAAAAAATGTATTCCAGACAAACCACATCCTCTCCACTCACACAGCAAATACTCACCTTCTTTGGCAACATGTGAACACCAACAGAATAGTGTCCTGGCTTGGTCCATAGTTCAATTTGAGCAAGGGTTTGGTTGGTGAATGAATTGCTCATAACAAATGATGGGTGCCCCATAGCACACCCCAAGTTGACTAGGCGACCCTCTGCAAGGAGGATGATATGGCGTCCATTTGACAACTTGTAACGGTCCACCTGACAAAATGAGATGCGGCATTAAAATTACAGCACTTTGAAAATATGTAGGAACAGGAAGATTAGTTCATATGCCTTACCTGAGGTTTGATGTTGATTTTCTCAACAGCATTCTTGTCTAGCCAAGTCACTTCAATTTCACAGTCAAAATGACCAATATTGCAAATGATAGAATCATTTCGCATGTTTAAGAAGTGTTTTCCAGTAATAATGTCTTTGCATCCAGTGGTGGTGACAAAAATCTGTCCTTCTTTGGAAGCTTCGTCCATGGTTGTGACCTACAAGACAAGAGGTAAATATTAATTTTAACTCAGTTTACTACAAAAACAGAAGCTCTTTTTATAAAAGTTTATAAACTTACTTCATAGCCTTCCATGGAGGCCTGCAAGGCGTTGATAGGATCAATTTCTGTTACAATTACTCTTCCACCAAATGCCCGAAGAGACTGAGCACAACCTTTACCGACATCTCCATATCCAGCAACTACACAAACTTTGCCCGCCAACATGACATCAGTTGCTCTTTTGATACCATCAATGAGACTCTCACGGCAACCGTACAAGTTGTCAAACTTGCTCTGAAAAGAGAAAATCAGGAATAAGAACATCAAATTGTTCAAAATCCAACACAGGCACATTTTCAATTCCGAAAATTTGATGATCAACATCTTACTTTGGTCACAGAGTCGTTCACATTGATAGCAGGAACTTTCAATTTTCCATCCTTCATCATTTTGTACAAATTGTGCACTCCTGTTGTGGTTTCTTCAGATATGCCCTTGATATTTGAGAGGAATTGAGGATATTTCTCATGGACTAAGTTGGTCAAATCTCCACCATCGTCCAAAATTAAATTGAGAGGCTGAAAAATGAAAAATTATGCACATGAGGAAATACACTGGAGTAAATTAAGGTACATTTATGATCAACATACCTGCCCATCTTTGAAAACCAGTGTCTGTTCAATACACCAAATATATTCTTCATCGGTCTCTCCCTTCCATGCATAGACAGGAACACCTGTTTTAGCAATAGCAGCTGCTGCATGGTCTTGGGTACTGAAAATGTTGCAACTCGACCACTGAACCTAAAAGGACAAAAGAATTTGTAAACAACTGACGCCTCATGAATGAAGCTAAGTTGTTGCCATTCAAACCGAAGCATTGACACAAAGGAACACATGTAGATAAGGAAACAAAAGACTGGCTTGACATGGCGTCAAGGTCAAGTGTTATCTTTTGACATGACATGAAGGAAATAGGGGACTGAGTTCATCTTTCTCAAAATAGCAACTTACCTCAGCACCAAGAACAACAAGGGTTTCAATTAAAACAGCTGTTTGGACTGTCATGTGGAGACAGCCGGCAATACGGGCACCCTTCAATGGCTTTGAATCTTTGTACTTGCTGCGCAGTGACATCAGGCCTGGCATTTCGTTTTCAGCCAGCATGATCTCTTTACGGCCCCAATCAGCCAGGCTGATATCAGCTGAGAAAAAAGAGAGAAGAGGATTACTTTCGAAATTCGCCATGCATGGGCAAAAGAATGGAACACCAGCAATATGAGAAAGTCAGAATTTTCAGCAGTCTCCCGATTCATCCATAGAAGAAATAATGATTTACAAAAGGAGGTTTTCAACACTTAATATCGGGGAATGTCAGGAGTAAAAGTGAAAAAAGCCAAACTAAGATTTATTAGTCTTACAAGGCGTGAGAAAAATAAACGATGACATTTTTGACAAATATCCAATTACAGTGGACTTGATAGCAAGCAGAGGTTACAGAACCATGTGCACATCACTCGAAAAAGAACGAACGCAACAAGGTCCAACTTGAAGACCTTCTGGTAACAAACGTGGTACTCGACACTCACCAACTTTGAATGCCGGTTTGCTTGACATTTTGAATCGGTAATGTTTCGTTCACCGAAAGGTAGTTTCCGAAATCCCGGCAAGACACACGTGCGAGCAGCGGCGCCGAAACTGAAGTGGAAGTGGAGTGGAAGAAAGGAAATGGAAGCCGGCCGCACGTCTTGGCCTCCCCCTCCCCCTCCCCCTCCCCCAGGCGTGCCCCATCCCCACCATCCTTGTTTGCTTCTTTTCGCGCATCCTTGGTGTTCCTCTTCCCTCTCTCTTTATCACCTCTCTCCTTGCTCACAACTTCCCGCTCTTCTCCCACACCCGCCCTTCGGCAACTGTCTTTCTCTCTCGTTCGGGCTCTTGTATCTGCTATCTCCTTTTAAAGTAAAAGCGCTAGAAATGTGAAAACTGTTCCCTCTCTCGCGACTCGACATTCTTAGGCGTGCTAATTAAAACCTGGACGGAGTCAAAACCACAGGTCTCTCGTTTCAAATCTGGTCAAATGCATTGACCAGTGACAGTGCGAGCGAGCGCGAGCGACCGTAAGATGCTGGCCGAAGTATATAGGCTCAGCAGAACCAGAATCCTCGGCGCCCAGGTTTGCAGCAGTGCCAGTGGAGTAATCGTCAAACATGGCGTCCAGTAGAAAGAGTTTGTCCGATTTCTTCGGACTTTCTTGGTCTAGTTGGTCAGAATACTCTGGGGAGTTTGCTAATACAGGTTGGTTTGAACCTCCATAATCCTATGCCTTAATTGCTATCGGTCTGGGACGCATAACACGGCGACAAGTCCGCCGTCAAGGGCGAAATTTGTTCATGTGCTTCTAGGTGACAAGCTCAATGAACCGCAATGCACATTGTTACCAACTTGGTTTTTGGCACTTCTCGGGTTTGTCAGAGTTGTTTTACTTGCTCTTCCACTTTTGACACACATTGGCACACTTGTGGTCTTTACTTTGAAATATAACTTGTTCAATTTTGTCTCACTTAGGCTGGTTAAATTTATTCGATCAATTTCCTAATACTATGGACCTATGACTTTTTCCCCTCAAACTCAGTAGCTTTACCTTTAAAGAACATCCCTGTAAAATTTTTACTTCGATAATTTTTTAATTAGAATGAGGGGAAAGGAGGGGTGGGGGAAATCGCACATTCCCGTTTCTTAGAGCTTTGCATCGCCAATGACTTGTGAAGGTCTTAGACTAATTGAAAATTAATTACAAATGTTACTTGTTCACTTTTCAAAATGGCTCATCAACATGCTTTTGATTATGTGTTCATGCTTTTCCTGTCCCTTTCAGATGGAGCTGAGGAAGAGAAAACGGATTCTCGTAGGAAGAGCTCTGATGTCATGCGGCTGTTCTCTTCAGGTATTTGAAAGGCTTTTTCAAAAGTAGCAGAACTATTTGATTGGATTCCTATGGATTTATCATGGGAACTAAGGACCAGACTAGCTCTGGATACTACACTATACCATGATAAAGTTTTCAAGTTTTAATTATGTGGCTCTAGGGAGATTATTTGTTTGACTCTGAAGCCAATTTAGCAACATCTATCAAAATAATTTTGTCTCTATGTCCTGCTAAAGCAACTGTACAGCTCAAGCATTCATTTCATTGGTCACACCCATACCTATTACTTTTGATGAGGGTGATAAGAAGTGGGTTTAATCATTGCTGTTTTTTTTTCAGACATGCAGAAATTTGGATTGTTCCCTGAAACAGATTGTTTCTGCACTGTGGTGTGCAGTGAATGCAATGCTTTGGTTAAACCACAGGGTCTCCTGAGTCACATGCGTAAGGACGTATTTTTATGTCATTGTTCGCCACAACCTAACAATTTTATGCTGATGATTTGCTACTAGATTTGCTTGATTTTCAACAGGTGTGCGCCACAAAGAGCTAGTACCTGGTAAAATTTCACCAGAGAAAGTTAGCAAATTTTCTGAAAGCTCTTCCATCAAGAGTATAGGAGACAAATCTTCAGCCAAACATGCATTGAATGAGAAGCTTATGTCTAAACTTATCTTAAATGAGAAACACAAGCCTTCTAGTGAAAAGTTACTTAGTTCTCCTGGTGATAAACATAAAGCAAGTCTTGAAAAGTCAAGTGTTAAATATTCTAGCAGTGAAAAGGCTTCTCAGAAAGCCAGTGACAAATTCCTTGGAAAATCCACTAGTGATAAGATATCTCGGAATTCAAATGAAAAAGTTAAAGCACCTCTTGATAAGAGTCTTACTGGACCTTCATTACTTACGGATAAAGCTTTGGTGAAGAATGAAAGTGATAAAGTGACCAAAACTGGTATTGATTCGACTGTTTGTAATCTAAAAAGCATCAAGTTAGGAGATAAGCCGATTTCCAAACCAGTCAGTGAAAAGCCCTCATCAAAGTATGCTTCCCCTGACAACAAGATTTTCTCTTTAAATGAGCGCCATTTGTCAAAATCAGGTGAAAAAATAAGTGTCAAGTCTGTCCTAAGCGAAAAGTTACTGTCTAAAGTCGCAGCTAATGAAAAAATTATGGCTGCAAATGAGAAAAGTAGAAATTTTGATTTCTCTAGAAGTGATAATGGTCTTAAAAAGGGGGATAGCTTACTGAAACCTGAAAGGATGGTTACCAAGCCTGTAATGAAAAGCTTGCTGAAGGAAAAAGTACTCAGGAATGAAGCAGCCCTGAACATTGTTCCTGGAACAAGTTTACTGAGGCCTATAGTTCAGCAAGATCGAGAACTACCACAGACTCCTGGTCCAGGCATAGGCATCACAACTCTTTCTCCGCCAGTTCTGACCCCTCAGAACTTGACACCCGAACGTCATCAGTCAGCTACAGATATGCCAGTTCTATCTCGCAAGAGAAAGTATAAAGAAAGAAAAGCTCCACCAACACAGTATGATCCTGATCGACATTGTGGTGTGTGGTGTGATTATTTTAACAAATTTTGTGTGCGGTCTTTGACTTGCAAGGTTCATTCTGTAGCCCTGAGACGAGCTGTAGTTGGGAGGAGTAAACCATTTGATCAGCTTTTGAGTGAACATAAGAGAGCAAAGGAAGATCAACGTCAATCAAAGGAGGATCAGGTAAGATCAAGGAATGCATGTATTTGCTTCATTATATTGCTGTGCATCCATCGGCCACTACCATTAATGCCACCTAAAATTCTTGCAGGATGATATTTCTGAACCTAGTCCCCACCTGTCAGATCGTTTACATAGCCCAAGTGAGCCTAGCAATAGTTCTTTTGTGAGCAGTCCATGTATCAGTCCAGCATCTAGCCCTGCTCCAAGCCCCTCGGAGAATGTCTTCCTCAGTAATGTTAACCATTCGGATGAAGCTGTTGCCTTAGTTACTCCCTCAACAGCCACAAACCCACCAGTCCCACTTCCTTCGTATCAGTATCCACCTTATCCGCCTCCTGAATCGGCCTGCTCCTCTCCGCCTAGAAGTATGGTATCGCTCTCTCCCCATTTAAGCTCGCCCCTCCTGAATGTTGCCCTACCTAGTCTCATTCCAAGCCATGCTCCTCGGCCCCCCGACACTACTGAAGACGACTCTACCAAATGCCCCAGGACTGTTGCTCGGGCTATCAACAGATTACAGCTGAATAAAGGAAAGCAGTTTAATGTGAAACACACAGCGTTTCCACCTAAACCTTTAAGAGTAAGATAGTTTTACTATGGAATTAGGTCCTATATTTTTAATTGTTGTCAGTTTTTGTGAAAATTTTCCTAATGTCTTTGTTGGTTTGTTTCAGACATGTCTTTTTCAGGGGCGCAAGAGCTCGGGAATGTTTTTTGTTCAACGTGAACTGGAATCAATGCGGGCAGGTTTCAGATTATCTGTTAAGGGCAACAAACCAATGCCTCAAGGTCATGTGCCCAGTACCTCTCAGTCCCTTCCCGAAACTGCAATCCCACATTTATCAGTTACAAGTGATTCTGTCTTTCAAAGTTCAGGAACGAATGTCTCTCCGCAAGTGAATACAGCATCTAGTTTAAAGTCAGTTCTTAGTAGTCTTTGTTCTCCTAAAGCTGTGCTCAATAGTCAACAAAGGGGGCAAAGACCTCAAAAAGCAGTGGTCAATTGTTCTGATTCATCAATACAACAACCCATATCTTCAGACAGCTCTTTGACAATTAACAGTGATAAATGTAAGTCAATTTTTTCTATTTTGCTGCACTACTTTTGGTTTGGTGTTAACAATGACTTTCTGTTTTATGTTAGTACCCCAAGGAATGAGGATTTCTGTTCCTACAACAATACCACAACAAATAGCCTACCTAACCACTTCAACACCTGTAACATTTCAACAAGTTCCTATTATTAACTCTCAGGTTGGTATTTCTTCATTTATGTTCCCGAAATGACGTAACTTATCCACAATGTTTCTGTTTAAGTAATGTAATTTTTCTAGGTTCTGAGTCAACTTCAGCTTCAGTCCAAAGGAGCTGGTGGAACACTGAAACTATTAAGCACAGGTGGGGGTGGACGCACATTACTTGTCCATCAATATCAGGATGGATCTGGAGCGGAATCCTGACAGAGGCCAACATCCATATGTTTGCCAACTCACTTGCAAAGAGATACGGTATCTGGTAGCAAACGCAGTCAAAGCAAATACCCCGAAATAAGTATTGTTCACTGACAGCTTGCCTTCAAGATTTGTTTCTGGAGAACTTGAGTGTGAATTTTGGTTATGTCAGGTTTGAGGGACTCAAATTGCATGATTACTGTTCGCTTTTCTGTCTTAGTAATAACATCTTCAAACTTTAAATGTGTACATTGCTGTTAAGTATAGAAGTGTGCAAGATACAGGCTGAGAAAGAGGCAGTACATTTATCATTGATATTGTAGTAATGTTCTGTAAACACAAAACTCAATTTTCTTTTCAATTTTGAGCCTCTGCAACATTTTTTCTGCAGTAAATTGTTGTTAGGATAGACTTTTGGAATCTCGGATCAATCAACAATAATTCATCATTTAGCTGCAAGGTACAGAGGTACTTTTTGCTTTCATGCTGGTTTCAATGTCTTTTTTAACATCAAATCTGAAACTACAAGTCATGTGAGTTGTTATCTCCCATGCAATTTGTGCTTTGTTCCACTTTGTTAAGATTTTCATCATGAATAAATTGTTGTTTCATTACATTTGTTCAGAGTAGGTTCCAAGTTTCCTTGTGAATTGAATTTACTCTCTTTGTGGAAACTATCCGACTATGTAGTTGTTTGGTAATTCTGTTCTAAGAAAAGTGTTTACCATGCATGTGTCTGTATGTGTCACTTAGACCATTTTACACCATCCAAAATTTGCATTTCCCTGTTCTCTATTGTTACTCTGTACCTGCAAGTTTCCTTTGCTCAGTTGGGGTTTATAATCAGTATTCTTCATCTGATGTATGTTATTCTTTTTTTGTTCATTTGTTGTTGTTGTTGTTATTATGGATTAAAACATACAGTAATTTTTGATTCACTGCCTTCCTTGTGCTCTCAGCCAGTAATGCTATCTTTCGTCCTGAAATATTGAGAAGTGCAGTAGCCTCGAGTATGATTAACTACAGCTCATTTAAAGGTCCCTCAACTGCATCTTACTGCTTATGAAGTCATGATGTTACTTATTACCTCATAGAAATTTTTATGCTCAAACCGCAGCAGTAATAATACTGCTTTTAAGCTCCATTTTCGGTTCCAAGAGAGGGAAAGAAGGGAACTGAAACATGCATTATCTAGATATGTAAAAGTTAAGACAAGTAATACTTAAATTGCGTGGTCTAAAATTATAACTGAAATGGAACTTGTACAAAATGGCTATTTTACTTCTTTCTCTCTCTTTTAAATCTTCATGGTTTCATCACTTAAAATATTAAAATTACTTGAGCAGTGGAAAATTTGCTCATCTGTTCTTTTCCTTTACCAGTTACGTTTCCCAATTTTTATAAGGTTGTGAACTCATGTTTGTCATTATTATATGGTAGTAATGATTTCTGTTGTAACTGAGACTTTGAACTTAGGATTATAGATGTATGATTTCTTTCAGATTGTGATATGTCACTCTTTAAATAGCTGTGATTAATATATATTTTAATTTCTCATGTTGAGAAACAAAACTAACTCGTCTTTTCACAAAAGGTTTGGGTCAGTTTGCTGTCACTTTTCATAAACTCAATTCATTTCCACTCGCTTTTTTGTGGCAACTAGTTCTGAACTGAACAAGAAAATTAGTCTATTGGCACGATTCCTTTCAATTGCATAAATTTCAGCCAAGTCACTGGTTGTTTGATGTGACTGCCAAGTGAATTTTGAAAGTTTTAAAAAGGCAAGGCAGTGGGGTGCTAGCAACAAACCCTCCCTCCTCCCCCCCTTTTTTTAACACTCTTGTTATGTCTGTGATCCTCAATCAATGGGCGGCATTGATGGAGAACTATTTATGTTTTCTGTGGATGTGAAACTGGGACATCCTTGGTGAAAATGGAGTTATGATGTAATATTTATTTCGGTTGACAGGTAGATTAGATTGTTTATGATGTTGAAACTTGCTGTGCAAGTTAACAGATGACAGCTACCTCAATTAAGCTTTTTAGTCACCAAACATCACATGTCTGTTTGGGACCAAATGATCTTTGAGCAAAAATGGAGGCAATTCTGTTCTTGTTCAACCCCAAATGAAATACAAGTATTTTCTAATGTTAAAATCCTTTTTATTGCTTATCCTTTTCAAATTGTTTTTATTTTGTAGCTAGAACTAAATTAAAATGAATTGTGTAATGAAAAGAGTACAGAATTAAAAAAAATTGGTAATGAAGTAAAATTATTTCAAATTTGTCTTTTCCTTTTCCTAGGCAAAGGGAGGGACTGATCCTTTGTCTGTTTGGTCAGTTTAGCTTGTAATGCATTAAGTCTGGCTGTGTTTATCACCTTTGCATCTGGATCCACAGTTCTACGCTTATTGCGTGACATGAGGAACTTCTTCCTGAGATGCTCAGTTGCTCTCCTCCAGTTAAGGTACATCATTAACAAAGGATCATCACTCTCCACATTTTTCCAAGCATCCTTCATGCAAAATATTTTGTAGGAGTCTGTACCGTATTTGCCTATACCGTACAGATCACTAGGTAACTTCCAATCTTTAGTAAGAAATTCATCTGAAAAGGAAATGGCTTAAATTATAAGTGTAGCTGATAAACAGGCATTCCAGGTTCATGGAGGAAACTTACGTGAAAAACGTATGATGATAGCAGCTCGTGTACGCCCAAACCCAAGTGGCTCTATGACATCCAAAATATCGTAAAGTTTAGCCTGACATGCTTCTTGTGGTGTTGGCCATCGTTTCAAGAATTCCAGAGCCAGAGGAATTGCAATTCTCCCTGCAATCCAAATAGAAAATACATTGTAATGTCTTCAGTAATCCATTGATAAAATTCAGTGGTCTCAGACAACATACCACTAGTACTGTTGAGAAATATGGTGGAAATCAGCATCTGCCATGGATCATGAAACAAATCTTCCTGTATTAGATTGAAAGGTGATCTTGGAGGAGCACTATCACTGTTCTTCTCTCTTTTCCGTCCTGCAGAGCTTACAGGCTGTTCCACAATGTTGGCGTCAGATGAAAAGTAAGGGCTCCTGACTATCTTAGGTTTGGATTGTATTATTTTTCTTTGTTCCAAGCTGGTATCTGACTCTGGAGCAGGAGGAGGAGGTACTGACTTCCTGGGTCTGCCTGGTCGGCCTTTAAGAGGAGTCTTTGGTGAAGGAGCATTTTCAACTATCTCTAGAACCTTGGTAGATCTCCTGGTTGCCTTTACTGGAAGGAGAGCTGGGGGCTCAACCAAACCCGTTGAACTTCGAAGTCTGGTCTTCCTAGTAGTATCAGGAGACACTATCTCTGATTTAATTATAACACTGTTACTTTCCTTTAATTCCTTATGCACTGATTCTACAGATTCTTCCTGTGACTTGGTTGCAGAAACTGTGCTTCTTTCTCGTGCCTTTCGCAACACAGGCTCAGGTGATACTTCATCTAACTTGGTTCTCGCGGACAGCCTTTCCTTTTTAAGTGAAGACTTAAACTTGCTGCGATACTTTCTCTTCAAACTTGCCTTTTCTTTTAACAACCTTTTCTGGCTCTTAATGGTCTTAGTATCAATGGCCTTGATGGGAGTGATGGGTATCACACCACTTTCTGTTTTAAGAAGGCCCTTGTGTGCTTTTCTCGCCATCATCAATTGGGCCACAACTACTTCATCTGCATTTGATGATACAATCGTCTTAGGATCTGAAAAGAAACAAAGTAAAGTATTCCATTTCCAAAGAGAAGAGTTACAACATTATATTCCAGGAAAGAAAAGCATCATACCACAGTACTTCAAGGTCCCCTGCTTCAAAAGAAATGGAATATTTGATTTTCTAAAAAAATCTAAGGGATCATAGTTGAGGCCATGATTGTTCATGTAGGCTACCAGCTCCTGTCTTGATCGCAATTTGATTCGTGGGGGAGGGCTGATACAGAAAGAAATAGCAAGAAACATTTCAAGTTGCTTTCCTTAGATACAATAATTTATTGCATCTTTGATTTATACTTACGTTATGTAGTAGACATCAAATTTGCCAATAGCTGTACCTGCCTGCCGTTTAACAGCCATAAAGACCCAATCCTCTGGTAAAAAGAGGGGACTAGTATCTGAAAAATAATGCCATCAACATATAAAATTTGATGAATGAAACAATGAGCACTGAGATTTAGAAGCTCACCTTCATCACGGTCATTTCTCCTGGGCCGTCTCAAAGGTTTCAGTTCATTCTTCTGAGAAACAGAGAAAAAATTACACAGCAAGTTCCAGGTTTCAAAATAATGAAATGTTAATAAAGTGATCTTACTTTGCAAGAAATGTCCTCCTTTCCAGAGGTTGTGGATTTGTTTGACATAGGAGCAATATCCTCTTTTGAAGTGGATGCGGACTTGTTGAGAATAGCCCCTCTCCCAGGGGTAGTTTTCACAATTATATCCTCTTTTCCAGTCGATTTTGACTTCTTGGGTTTGTCAACTTTTTGAGGGAGGTTCTCAGAATTGTTCCGCCGCATCTTGAAATAAAACAAGGAAATGAAAAGTTCCAGAAGGTTCAATCACGCAACCCCTCTCTTTGCAGCATGTAGAGCTCTGCATTAGAGACCCTTTTTGTCATGTGCATGTGTTAAGACATGCTTAGAGAGTTAAGCTCGCGGTTCCCAAGGGCCAATTTCTGGTAACTGACAAAAATATAGAGCAACTACAACATCAACATACCTTGTCAGCTAATGATGGTCTACCTCGTTTCTTAAAAACCTTTTGTGTGCTGATTGTTTGATGGCCACTTTCCTTTAAAAATAGATAAAATTCAAACATAAATCCATTTAAAAACATAGGGGGTCCAGGCAGTCAGAGTTACTTCAACTAGCTTACCTTTGGGGGTGTCTTCAGTTTCTTTGCCTTACTCAAAATGTCATCACCTTCGTGACTTTCAACAACTTCCTACAAGAAAAGAGATGTTTAGACACAAGTTATTTACAGCTTTATTCGTAACATAAATTACTGAACTTTAATGGTTAAATACTGACCTTCTCAGGTGATCGTTGTCTCTTCTTTCTACGGGAAACCTTGTCATCTTCCAAACTCTGAGAATCCCTCAGGTATGCAAAGTCAACTGCAGCAGACTAAAATAAATAATATTTCATAAAAATTGAAAAATAAATAAAAACAGATTGCACCGCACTTAAGAATAGAGGCTTAAGTTAAATGAATTTAAGCTTTACTTTGAACCCACCTTGCTAATTCCTAAGCTTGTGATTTCTAGCTGGACAACTTCTTCATTAATAGGACTCTGACTACCTTCATAGGGAACACCATCTTTTACAAGACTTTTGCTTACTTCATGTGCAACTGTAGTCTTTTCCAGACTTACACTTGTTTCTTGGGCAACATCAGCAATAACAGGACTTTGGCTCAATTCATGTGCAACATCGGCTTCTATAGGACTTCTGCTCACATCATTGGCAGTTTCAGTTGTTTCAGGACTTCTGTTTGCTTCAAAAGCCATTTCAGTTCTTTCAAGACTTCTGCTTGCTTCAAAAGCCATTTCAGTTCTTTCAGGAATTCTGCTTGTTTCAAAAGAAGCTTCAGTTTTATCCGGACTTCCGCTTGCTTCATAGGTCATTCCATCTTTAAGAGAGCTTCGGTGTACTTCATGAGCAATATTAACTTCCTCTGGAGTACCCTTGGAAGGGGAAGGTAAAATTGCGGTAAGATTTCCCTGAACCAGAGATGCTTGGTCTTCCTCAACACTGTAGTCATCTGTTTGAGGTGTCTCAGGCTCGGCAATCTGTAATCGTAATATTTACACAAAAAGGAACAAGACTTATCAGGCATGAAAGAGAAAGGGTAAATTTTAGCACTGGTTCATACCTTCTGTGCTGATGACAATTCTAGCTCAGGCAGAGGAGCATCAACATCAGTGTCATTCTTGCTAAAATCAGAGTTTGTAGTTCTCTTATCATCCTAGAAACATTTAGAGGCAAATATTACAAACATTTTAGGGCAGGAGAAAATCTATTGTGAGTTACTAATTTGAACTAACCTCACTTTCTAGAGATCTTGAAACATCGCGTCGTTCCAAGTTCTCGTTTGTTTCCTCTAGGGACTTTTCAATAGATAAAATAGTTTCATGCAATCTTTGATTATCGGTATCATCAAACGGTTCTTCTCCAGAGAACTGATCTTCCTCCATTTCAGCTCAACTGGAAAATTAGTAAGGTTAGCTCCAAAGAAATTCTATAAGGAAATGTCTTGACTGTACGCAGTTATCAGCGCACGGAACCGTAAAAGGATAGTAGCAAGCCCATCTAACAAGCCAAAAGAAAAGACTTTTATCACTTACATAGTAAAATATTTCCCGGCATAAACAAACAAAACTTCTAGAGACCGCTCCTCAAGCTCAAGCAAGAAGAGGAGGGGAGGGGTGGGGAGGGGAATGTTTTGGTCAGTTGTAGAGAGCCTCGAGTTGTGAGAGAGGTGCCGTGCCAGTGTCACGTGACGTATACGCCCTCTGATTGGTTCCGACCCAACTGATCCCCGAGCCGTGGCTGCCGTGCCCGGAAAGCCGGAGAGCCGTGGCCGTCTTCCTCGCCCGACCGCCTCGCGCTTCGTCTTGCACGCAGTCACACGCCTTTTGGTGAGGCGGTGGTAGAAGTGTGTTAAGGGCTGAAATGGTGCTCGAAATAGTGTCAGGAGTCAAAAGGGAGTGTTCCCGCTCAGTTGAGTCATAACAAAATGTTGAGTAGTTGGCTTCATGTTTTTAATATTTATTTTCCTAAAACAACAGAAATAATTTGACTCAAAAAAAGAAATTACACACTTCTAAGAGAATGCATATTGTTAGGTACACAAATAAAATTAAGTTCTCCAGTATTAGTGAAAGTTAACACCACTCAGTTCATCCTATAAGTGATTTCGATTCATTCAGTTCAAGTCTTTTTCTAGACTTCACTTTATCAGGGCAGAACAGGCAAGTTGTATTTACATATATGCCATCAGAAAACCCTAAAATACATTTTTGGTGTCTTAATGGAGAGTCATCATAATGACTGCATACTTAATTCGACTTTAATGTAAATACATTCATATGTGTACAGGTATGTACAGATAATATAATTTATTAAATATAAGATAGCTTTCCAAGTTAGTACTTTCAGAAGCACATTAACAATAATGGGCAATTTTACCTGAAAGTTAGTGGTTCAGTATGTAACAAAAAAGAGTGTTCTGCTTTTTGCTCTACTAATAAGTTCATTGTAGCCAACAGTAAGACTACTGCCCTTGTAAGTGTGTCTTCTCAGAAACAAAGACAATTAAATCATACAAAGAAATCTGTAGGTCAGAGGGAGACTAATTAGCTAAATCGCTACAATGATTTTCCAGCATCATTTCACTCACTCATTAGCACTTTTATCACACATTTTATACCATAAAATTAAAAATTTTATAACTGAATATTTCTAATTAAAGCACTTAATGTTGTCTCCATGAATGTTTTTAGGTAAGGAAAACAAGTGTACAAAAATAGCATGACATGGAAATAAGCACCAGTGGCAAGAAGATTGATATGCAATTCATAACTGCATAGTAAAGTTTGTTTTCCAATTGTTAATTAAATGTGTACTGTAGCAGTTATGACACACATGCACATATAATTTCAAGTTCCCTTGACAATTAATTTCTGGGAAACCAAGGCTCAATAAATAACTTTCAGCAGTTCATTATTTTCCTGACAAATAATAAACGGAATTTACTTAAATAACATGCTACTGCATTCATAGAAATGTACCTCTTGTGGTTTCGAATGTACTAATAAAAAGTGACAAGGGTCATCTAATAGCCGTCATTATCTATCAACATTATACGTACAAAAAAATGGTTTGTACAATAATAGTGGAGCAAGAGGAGTCAATATCAACCCATTCGTCTGGAACTGATTTTGGATCACAGTGTTTCTCAAAACAACCACAGAATATGAGTCAATCATTCACCAGCAAAGCTCGTATGTAAAATATGGACTAAAACAGCATGTTATATTGAATGATAAGCCATCAAAACTTGCTTAGCCACCAGGTTATAGAACATAAGTTCAAACATGTAGAACAGATTTTCTTTTTCAAATGACTAAAACATGAATTATTCATACATTGTAGTTACTATTCCGTATCCCTGCTGTGTGAATTGTGCACAAGAAGTAAGATTCCTATCCTACAACTGTACAAAACGTGAAAGTCAAATCTTCATCCCTCTAGAGCACACCTTGTGTTGCACTTCTCTCGTTGTACGCCACTAGAGTTTTCTGAATGCAGCAGCAGTTCAAGACCCAAATATACTTCATACAACATTTTTCTGCCCCACCCCACTCATCATAACCTTAGATACAAAATTAACAATGGCATTTGCTGGCTGCTCGGGCTCTAGTTCAGCAAAAATATGGCACTGGTTGTCGGATCTGCTGGCGGGCTTTCTTGCCACAAAGCCAAAGCAGCGGCTGGAACAGAATTTCATTGAAGATTATGGAGTGAACCGTCATCAATCTCTCTGTACGTTCTCTGCAAAGGCCTCCGTCCAGACCAAAATTAAGGATGCGTTTTGAGCTCCAGAGCCGCTAAACAGGACTGGAACCGAGCGTGTGACCCCACCAATGGATTCCTCGTTCGGAGAGCAATCCGTAGGTGGGGTCAAACGTTCGCTTTGAGTGCAACTTGGCGAATCTGGAGGTCAAGACGCGACCGGGATTTTGACCGCCTCCACCGGTCTTCTGGGCGCCTGCGCCTGCACGGCACTTACTTGGAGCTGATGGGCATGCCCGTCTCGGGGCTCTTCTGGCTCCACCGGTGATCGTCCGGGTCGAGGCCGCAGTGCGAGATGGTGGACACCGGGTAGTGGCGCCGGAAGAACAGCCGCCGCTTGTTGTCCGTCAGCGTGATGCCCTGGCTGGACACCTTGAAGTGCACCACGGTGGCGGACGGCAGGGGCCGCGACGCGAACAGGCGGTGCACGGCGCGTCGGATGGCCTGCGGGCCCGTCAGCGACTCGGTGTCCGTCGTGAACAAGTACAGCACGTTGCACGCTGCCAACACAGACAAGAGGTTCACTCACTGCGATCGCGCCTCGCGACGTCCACTGTTCCCAAGGAACAAGAAGCACACGCGAAGCAGTCAGAGGAGGTCAAAACAACGTCAGAAAAATAATAACTTTTCAACAAAATTTTGACTAAAAGGAGTCATGTAAACATGAGATGACGTCACGGCCGCGACGTACGCGACGCACTTACCCGCGCCCTGCGCCAGGAGCTGGTGCGCGCTGCTCACGGAGTGCGAGTTGGTGTTGCCGGACGGGCTGCCGCCCAGGTCGGTCACGTGGCGCGCCTGGATGGTGCCGCTGCCGGGGACGGGCGCGCCGATCTCGCCGTCAGGCAGCAGCAGCTTGCAGGGCAGGGCCATGGCCATGATGGAGTGCTGGTACACCAGCGCCGACAGCGAGCCTGCAACAGTGCAGCGCCACCGCGCGCTCAGGGGAAGTCCCACGGCATGGACACTTTGCACCAGTTTTTGGACTTTCGGTCGAAGCGAGAACAAGGCCAATGAGGCCGCGTTGCCGACCGGCGCCGGCTCAGCCGCTTTGGCCAGAGTCGTTTTCGTCGCTCTGTCTCTCTCGCACTCGCAGGGCGTCTCGTGCAGGTGCGAGTGAGACAGAGCGGCGAAGGCGGGGCGTACTCACTGAAGACGGGCTCGTTGGTGCAGCCCTTGAGCTTGACCCCCCGCGACGTGGGCTCGATGAGGAAGTGCCGCACCAGCTCGCTGGCGTCGCCGCTGAAGAAGGCCGCCTTCTGCGCCACCGTGGCGGGCGGCACGGCCACCTTGAGGGCCAGCCCGAAGGCGCCGGGGAACGAGTTGGAGTCCCGCACCACGAACGTGCCCGGCGGCGCCTCGCGCAGCACGGCGATGGCCTCCTCGCGAGAGATGTTGGGCTTGTACCAGTAGCGCGACGTGTCCCGCACGAACTTGACGTGGTGGGCCGCCACCTCCTGCGGCGGCTCGCTGTTGGAGTGCGTCGAGGAGCGCCGCGTCGAGTACACGGACGGCGAGGACTGGCCGCCGCCGTTGCTGGGACTCTGCAACGGACGAGGCGGGGACGGGTCAGTGTTTGGAGCCGCTCGGCAGACGAGGCCGTAGACTTGAGCAAGACGAAAGAAGAAGAAAATGAATCTTGACGCACCGCGGCGGACGGCCTCTGATTGGCCCAAGCAGCCGACGACGGCCGTGTTCGAAAAAAAACTCATTCGTTCCGCCCAGCTTAAGTCGTCTTTTCCATTGTTAGCACTATACATGACCATCGACTAAGCTACACTTAGAACTTCACAAAAGTAACACATTCTACCTGTGGTAGCTAACTTTCGACATACAGTTTGTGGTTGAGTTATTGACACTTTATTCGGATGCACCAGGTCCACTAAGCACAGCTACGTCAGTAGGACTTGTCACAGAGTCCACAGTTCTACCTCGCCGAGCTGACACTGCTATCCGTACATCACCAGGCCCATGGCCCCTTACGGTGGCCGGGTAGGCCGTCCCGTCGAACAGAGCTGCCAGCAGGACTGCCTACCCGCCAGGCGCCATGACCCTTACGGTGGCGGGGTAGGCCGTCCCGTCGAACAGCGCTGCCAGCGGGACAGGCACCATGGCCCCTTACGGTGGCCGGGTAGGCCGTCCCGTCGAACAGAGCTGCCAGCGGGACTGCCTACCCGCCAGGCGCCATGGCCCCTTACGGTGGAGGGGTAGGCCGTCCCGTCGAACAGCGCTGCCAGCGGGACAGGCACCATGGCCCCTTACGGTGGCAGGGTAGGCCGTCCCGTCGAACAGCGCTGCCAGCGGGACTGCCTACCCGCCAGGCGCCATGGCCCTTACGGTGGAGGGGTAGGCCGTCCCGTCGAACAGAGCTGCACGCGGGACTGCTTAACCATCATTACCATTACGGGCTACACCACAACTGGTCGTATACCGTTTCGGGCCCGACACATGCCCGCAGGCGCCCCCTAAAACTACAATGTTCATTAATGTTTTTATTGACCAATCTAGTCAAAGACTATGAGTAATATCACCACTACACATGTGAACTACACCATAACTACACAGAACATTTCTCCTGGTGGATACATGCGCATCATTATAGCTACCTTAGCATCCTTTTCATCATATTTAATATTTCCCCCAAGTAGGCATAGATAGAAGACCTGCAATCCCAATTGGACATTACCGTGCACAGCACGATTAATTCGGAAAGCCGCTCCCAAGGAAAAGGGGAAGGGAAGACGTAAACTTTAAGTTTGGCCTCTCACCTTTGGACTATGCTGCATGTAAATACCGTGACCTTGTTGGTCTGACATCGGCGACGGGGATCGGTCCTTGCTGCAACCAGAGAAACACGGATCTGAGCAAAATGGAACAAGTCAATCTACAAAGCTACTGTTAGTGGGTCGAACAATTTCTAATGAGAACCAATCAATTGCCAAACGTTACAGTATGTAACAAGCCGAATATTCAATGACACGGTTTACTCCAGTTGAATCATGTCAAGTAAACGTGAAAGCAGCCCCTCCGCAGTGGACGGATGTGTACGCACCGCACTGTTTTGAGCAACTTGCAAAAAAAGAAAAAAAAAGAGAGAAAAAAGGTAGTATACAAGCTGAAATCCACAAACTGCAGGAAAGCAAACACGGAACTCTCGCTAAAAAGACAAAGATAATAAAAACAATGGAAAATTCAGAGTAGAATTAACTTTGATGCAACATCTACGCCCCAAAATACGCAAGCATTGCCACGCCTTTACAGAGTGCTGTCCCAAGGATGAATTCAGAATATACGGCAAATTCCAAAAAGCTACACCTCAGTACTGTTGCCGTGTACGACAGCCATGCAGAAACGCAGATTGGGAGTTCTGGCGAGTCCGACTGCCGGGAGAGCTGGCGACAGAAACAGAAAATCTGAAAGAAGGTGGACTTCCGTTTCTGTGGCTGTCACCTCCGGGTCGGGATCGCTGGTACCCTCATGGCGCGCCAAACTAATCACTCACGCGACCCGCGAGCCAGCCAAGCGATTCAGAGGGGTCCTTTTGGCGCTGTCTCTCTCGCACCCCTGCGGGACGCACGCCGAGAGTGCGACAGAGAAAGAGAGAGAGAGAGAGAGAGAGAGAGAGAGAGAGAGAGAGAGAGAGAGAGAGAGAGAGAGAGAGAGAGAGAGAGAGAGAGCGACGAAAAGACTCCTCGGAATCAGTCTGCAGCCAAGCGAACCACAACAGTACGGCCCGGCAAGTTGCCTACCCCGCAGGGCTTAGGCTTCAGGCCAGCAAGGCGTACCCACATACCTAGACACGGAAGAGTTGGAGGGCCACCTTCGGAGGTGCTTAAAAGATCCCGAGCGTCTATCCACGAGCCAAACAGGGAAAACAAGAGACATCAAATTGCCGGCAACCACTCGAAAAAGGTTTCAGGGACCGATATACTGGCTGCCGTGCATGGCATAAGTGGTAACCACGCATTCCCATTGGTCAGGCGGCTCGAGCGTACATACAGACCGCATGCAGACGGTGGCAGACAGTTGCAGACACAGAAGCGAGCAACGTTTCAGCGTCTTTTGCGAGATGGCAGCACAGAGCACGGTCAAAAGCTGGCCAGAGTTGCCACACAAGTGGCCAAGCATTCTCCCGATCACGGAAAAGGACTAGGCAGCGGTGCACTAAAATCGAAAGGGTTGCCAACGTTAGCCTGCAGCCTGCCTTTCAATATCTGGGCTTGAGGCTGGCAACCCTCATGATCTCGACACCGCTGCGTCGTGTGAATTTTCGCCCTCTTATGTGGCAATTCTGAAGCTAGCGCTTATCTCGGTTTCTCAACCCCCCCCCCATACGTCTTGCCTCGTAATCAATAATAACTTAACTAAGAGTCTTACAAATAATTTTCCCATTTCACGAAGAAAATGGAGAGGGGAGAGAGAGAGAGAGAGAGAGAGAGAGAGAGAGAGAGAGAGAGAGAGAGAGAGAGAGAGAGAGAGAGAAAGAGAGAGAGAGAGAGAGAGAGAGAGAGAGAGAGAGAGAGAGAGAGAGAGAGAGAGAGAAAGAAAGAGAGAGAGAGAGAGAGAGAGAGAGAGACTTGGCTTCACACTGCTCCGCACTTACCGCTGAGTTGTCGGACTCTTGGGGGGCAGGCCTGCCGAGTCAAACTGGTGGCCATTGTAATAGGGCGTCCGCGGCTGCACGGGGAAGGCTGGAGTCTGCGGCCTGGAGAATCGGTCATCCTCGCTCCTCCAGGAAGAGTAACTGTCCTCGCGCTGCTGTGGGGCACAAGCACACGGACAGCGTCAGCCGGACGAGAACCACTGCACTGGCAGGAAGGGGAGGGAGGGAGAGTTGATCGGCGGGTGGTGGTTTCGGTCTACGGTGCTACGGCGGGGGATCACACAGGCCTAGGCTGACTACGCGGTAAAACAATGAGCTGTTGTAACAAAGAAGCTGTGCCATAAGCAGCGGAGTGCGGTGCGGTGCAGTGCGGGCGGCGTCAAGGCGAACTTACTCCCATTGTCTCATCGCAGCACCGCAGTTGCACGAGGATGGGCAGGAAGACGGCGGCGACCGAACCCAACCCAACGGGCCCGGCGCGCAGTGGGCCAGAAGACCGGCGTGGGCGGCCAAAACTCTAGACGCGTTTTGAGCTCCAGAGTCGCTAAACAGGACTTGAACAAAACGTGTGACCCCATCAATGGATCTCTCTCCGAAGGAGGAATCCATCGGTGGGGTCACGCTTTCGGTTTGAGCTCAAAACCCGCCGGGGATTCGGGCCGCCTCCACCGGTCTTCTGGCGAATCCACTATGCGCGGCGGTCGGGAGAGCGCTTGGCCGTCGCGGCCAACCAACTTTCGTCGACTTTGTCCCGGACGGCGGGAAATGTATTCGGCTCACGCGCGTGACCTGCAGAGCGGCGTCACTCGCGCATTAAGCACGCGGCGAGGTGCAGCACGCGCACGCCACGTGCGGCACGGCGTGGCACGGCACGGCACGAACAAACAGTGCACCGCCGCTAGTGGTCGCCCACCGATCACCGGCTAAAAATATACCCAATGGCCAAATGGCTTCGGCGCGGGGCGGGCAGTGTAGTGGCAGGTCAACAACAAGCGCACTGACCGCGTCAAAGTTACGCGCCGACTTCAAACCACTTCCCCATAAATTTGAGGCTTTATGACGTTTCGGAAATCCACAGCGCGGCAGGTCGCGCCTGAAAGTGTCTTCCCTCCCTCTCCCTGAGGACCACAGTGTATTAGTCAATCGGCCGGCATGGGGCGGGTGCGGTGCGACTGGGACTAGGGACTAACCTGCGGGGATTGCCATGCAAACGATGCGGTGCTGTTAGTGCTGCAGTCGCTAGCGTTACAGTGGCGTGCCGGGGTGTGCTGCTGCTGGTAGTGCGAGGCGGGGCTCCTGCCGGGGCTCGTCGGGCTGGTGGCGAACGCGGCCGGCGGGGACGGCGTCATGGACGAGGGGGACGCCGTGGACGCCGAGGGGGGGGAGTCGGACGGCGAGGCGAGGGACGCCATCAGGCAGGCGAGGGCGTCTTGGTGGAGGACGCCGTTGGAGAGCCCGCCATTGGAGAGCCCGCCGTTGGAGAGCCCGCCATTTGAGAGTCCCCCATTGGGCTGTCGTCCGTTGGAGAGCCCACCGTTGGTGAGTATCCCACCGGAGTGACCCCCGTTGGAGAACCCTCCGTTGGCGAGGCCTCCGCCGGGCGGCGTGCTGGACAGCAGTAGCACGGCGTCCTCGGGACTGGGCGGCCCGCTGTGCTTCCCGTTACCCACCCCGTTGACGGCGTGGTTCGCGCCGCTGGCGCCGCTGCCGGGGCCGCGCGGGCTGAACAGCGTCCGCGCCACGGTGTACGTCAGCGGCGTGGGCGTCGTCCGGTGGGGCAGCACGGGCACGGCGTCTGGCCGCGGGGTGCTGTAGTGGCTGGCGCCGTTGGTGCCGTTGGCGGCGCTGGCGCCGTTGGCGTACGGGTGGTTGCTGTAGTTGCTGTAGTGGAGGCGGTTCGCCGCCCGGTCGGTCCGGTCGGTCCGGTCATACGCCGCGGCATGCACGGGGCTGCCGTTGTCCTGGTGGAGCATCATGTTAGCGGTATTAGTGGCGTGGGCGCGGGCGTGGCGGCGCGTGGCGGCGCGTGGCGGGGGAGGCCGTCAAGCAGGCGTGGCGGGGCGAGGAGCATGGCGTCGACGGAGTCCTGCACGCCGTGGGCGTTTTCGTGAGGAACATTAGGTAGGGCGCACTAGCAGCGGTAAAGTTAGCGCATGCCACGGCGAGGGGGGGGGGAGGGGGGGCACACCGAGGGGCGGACAAAGCCGGACGCATGAATGATGCTTTTCCAGTAAATCAACAACAACAACAAGCCTGCCCACGGTAGCTCTGCCTCTCTCCGTCGCTCGCGAGACAGGGCTACAGTGTGCCAGGCGGGCTCCAAGCGTTGTCCACCCCTCAACAGTGTGCCACGCAACAGTGGCTGCGTTCTCCCTCCAACAAACACATGCGGTCACACAGCGGTCCAATTGACGGCACGAGTGTCAGAATGACTCGTTTCTAGTCGTCATTTTGACTTCAGGTGCACTCACAAGAAGTCGTTTCTTGAACCAGGACGCTTCACTTTGCATCAAGGAAACTCACTTGAAACATCCAAGTAAATTCCCTTGAAACATTCAAGTAAATTCCCTTGAAACATTCAAGTAAATTCACTTGAAACATTCAAGTAAATTCACTTGAAACATTCAAGTAAATTCACTTGAAACATTCAAGTAAGTTACTTGTTTGAAGTGAATTATCTAGGTTCGCCGTGGTTTGCTGCTTCGGCACCCTCGGCTTACCGGCGAGTCGTGGTACTTGGCGCGCTGCTCGTAGCCGCGCTTGACGGCCACGAAGGGCCGCTCGCGGTCGAAGGACGAGTCCGACTTCTGGCGCGACAGGCTGTAGGGCTGCGGCGCGTGCTGGCTGGTGTAGGGCGCGGCGCGGCGCTGCAGCGGCGACCCGGGCGCGGACATGCCGCCCGACACGCCGTTCAGCTTGCCGCTCGTGTTGATGTGCAGCGGCCGGCACAGGTCCTCCTCGTCCTGCCGATTTCCGTTTCAGTGGTAAAATCAAGGCATGATTCCAGTAAAATCAAGGCATAATTCTAGTAAAATCAAGGCATAATTCTAGTAAAAATCAAGGCATAATTCTAGTAAAAATCAAGGCATAATCCTAGTAAAATCAGGGCATGATTCTAGTAAAATCAAGGCAAAATTCTAGTAGAAACCAAGGAATTATGGTAAAATCAAGGCATTACACTGGTAAAACCAAGGCATTACTTTAGCAAAATCGGGGCATCACTCTGGTAAAATCATAGCACTACGCCTAAGGACCTTCCAACAGTATGTAATGCAATTATTTTCAACAAATTTGGGAAGCGTCGCACAGTGGGCCAGAAGACCGGCGGATGCGGTCAAAATTCTAGACGCGTTTTGAGCTCCTGAGTCACTAAACAGAACTGAACGTGTGACCCCACCAGTGGTTAACTCTCCGAACAAGGAATCCATAAGTGGGGTCACACGTTCGGTTCGAGTTCCATTTAGCGACTCTGAAGCTCAAACCGCGTCTAATTTTGGCCGCCCCACCGGTCTTCTGGCCCACTGTGCATCGCGATGCATCGGTGTGGTGGCGAGACTGCTTACCTCGTCGGCGAACATGGTGGTGTCGCTGGTGTAGCCGTCCAGCCGCCTGCTGGCCGAGTGGGCGTGGTGCAGCGACCGCAGCTCCGACAGCAGCCGCGCCTCGTGGGGTTGCCGCGCCGACCGCACCAGCCCCTCGCGCCGCTCGCGCAGCTTCTGCTGCTGCCGCTGCAGCCATGTCAGGTGGCTGCGGCTGCCAGGGCTGCAAGCAGAGGGGAGGGACCGATTAGACGACCATTCGCTGGAAGGACCTTGCCGAAGGACCTTCTGAAGGACCTTCTCAAGGACCTTCTCAAGGACCTTGCCGAAGGACCTTGCCGAAGGACCTTGCCGAAGGACCTTGCCGAAGGACCTTGCCGAAGGACCTTGCCGAAGGACCTTGCCGAAGGACCTTGCCGAAGGACCTTGCCGAAGGACCTTGCCGAAGGACCTTCTGGAGGATCATTTGGAGGACTATGCGCGACGACAAAAGCGGAAAACGGGCTGTAGTCGAAAATGGTGGCGAAACCGGTGCGTCTCGGTGTGTGTGCCTGTCTGTGTGAATGAGTGAGTTTGTCTTGAATATTTATCGCGGGCCACGAAGCTCGAAGCGGCGGCTCCGCGACCGCCACTCCGCCATGCGTCCTCCGCCCTCCACCACGATGAAATTGCGGCACTCTGGACGCCGCCGATTCCGAACAATTACCTGTCTCTCTCGCACCCCTAGGGGCCAGCCAGCCGGCCCGCGCATGCGAAAAGGAAGACAGACCAACGCGAAGGCAGTGTTCGGATCGGAATCGGCCTGCTGCTGCTGGTCCCGGACTGCCGATAATCGGGCAGTGCTCAACAAGTGCTCCCACACTCGCGGGGCGCGGGGCGGCTCTTTGGCGTCGCGCCGCCAGAGTCTCTCTCTCTCTCTCTCTCTCTCTCTCTCTCTCTCTCTCTCTCTCTCTCTCTCTCTCTCTCTCTCTCTCTCTCTCTCTCTCTCTCTCTCTCTCTCTCGCCGCGACAGAGCATTGCCTGGCAAGCCAATAACAAACATTCACACTTTGCGGAGGTGTCGAGACGGCGCGGCCTGGCGGCACGGCGATGGCGGCACGCCGATGGCGGCACGCCGATGGCGGCGGGGTGACTGGCCGATACGTGCTCCAGCACCGTCCTCCAGCACGTACTGCCAGGGGCGGCGTGCGGCTGGGCTGTACGGTGTGCGTACACTCGGCCGGAGAACACACCCTGCCAAGATCTCCGGGGCGGATCCAGAAAAGGGATGTCGCAAAAGTTGCCTGCCTAGGGGCAAGGTGCGACTTGCGGCCTACTCTAGCGACGCCCTCCTCGCCTCCTCCTGGATCCGCACCTGAAGGACTTGCAGTCTCCGGGACACTCATGCTGGAGAGTTTGTGAAGCCAGGAGGTTTCCGCCAGGACCAAAAGACCCACCATGGACCCACAGCACAGCGCACCAAAAACAAACGCCCTTCCTGCGGGTGGGGGTTGGCGCGCGCACCGCATCCCGCACGTGGTCCGCAAGGCCGCCGTCCACAAGGCACTGCAGGGCCACTGCAGGGCACTCGGAAGGACCGGCTATCTCCATCGCGTCACGTGGTCGCCGTGTTGTGGCCGCCTGGCGCGGCGAGGCAGCATGGCGGCAGCCGGGCGATGCTCTGTCTCTGTCGCACTCGCGGGGCGCTCCGTGGGGGTGCGAGAGAGACGGAGCGTCCCTTCGGGCTCAGGGCGCTGCATTTCAAAACGCGTTTATTTCTGGTGCCGTCTGGCCACGCTTGGCGCGGCAGCAGCGGCGGCCACGTGGGTCGGCGGGGGGCGGCGCGTAAAGCGCCAGGCACCACGTGCAGAACCCCACGACCGCCGCGTTCGTGAATGGAGCGTGGCAGCGCAGCCCAGGTCGCCGCCGGCCCAGTACGTCGCCAGCCCAGGACATCGTCGGCCCAGGACGCCGTCAGCCGTCAGCCCAGGTCACTGCCGGCCCAGGACGTCGTCAGCCTAGGTCACCGTCAGCCCAGGTCACCGTCGGCCCAGGTCACCGTCCACCCAGGTCACCGTCGACCCAGGTCGCCGTCAACCCAGGTCACCGTCGACCCAGGTCGCCGTCAACCCAGGTCACCGTCGACCCAGGTCACCGTGGACCCAGGTCACCATCGGCCCAGGTCGCCGTCGGCCCAGGTCACCATCGGCCCAGGTCGCCGTCGGCCCAGGTCACCGTCAGCCGCCTGGACCGCCTTGCGAGCAGGCAGACCCGCTGCGCACCGCCGCACCGACAGGAGGACGGTTGCCTACCCCCGCATTGGCAGGAGCTCCACAGCCTACCGTTGGCTGCCTCCGTACTCGCACCCCGTGTTCGCTGCTTAATTCACCGCCGGGCTGGGCGTCGTCGTCGAGGCCCGACCGTGGGCGCCGTGACGCCAGCAGCGCCGCGGTGGCGGCGGCAACGACCGATGACAGGTGTCGTTTGTCAGCGGCGCCGCCACACCTGACTTTGCCAATTTACGCCCTTTCCCTCTCCAAGGACGTCCACCCTCTGGCGCCCCCTGGCCGTCCACCAACGCGTCGTTCCGCCACAACGGGTGCCATCGCACTGCCCTAGACTCGCTGCCCGCCCCCGTGGCCGCCCCGACCAGGTGCACGCCGGGGCCCCGTGCCAACGGCAAGGCGGCCGCCACATCAAAAGCAGCCCTGCGCGGCCCTCCGCTGGCGGGGCGGGCGCTAGAAGGCGTTCAAAAGGGCAGACGGCAACGCCGACCCTAAAATCGAGACCGCGGTGAAAAATTAGATTCCTCGTGCCTGCCGTTCGACGCGAGCAGTGGCCAGTGCAGGAGCCGGTTCGTCCTGCCGGCCGCGGCATTCGCCAGTCGGACGCGAGGCTCGAGTCGCGGAGTCCGGATCACGGCGGGGCGGGGCGGGGCGGGGCGGGGCGGGGCGGGCGGGGCGGGGCGGGGCGGGGCGGGGCGGGGCGGGGCAGTGCCGGCACAGCATCCCTCCAAATATGGGGGCGGCCGGGCCGTGGCCGGGCCGTGGCCGGACCAGCGGGTCAGGGCACTGCTTCCCCCCGCCCCGCCCCGCCCCGCCCCGCTCCACGCCGCTGGAATGTCACAGAGTACAGCGAGGCCGGGCGAGGCCAACCTACGTGGCGGGGACGCGGGGACTCCGTCCGGGACGACTGCTGCCCCCGCCGCCGCGCTGCCTCGCCGCCACGGCACGACCGTGCCCCTGCAGGGAAGTACACGGACAGATAGGGGCCAGAGGGCCAAAGGCGGGCAGGGCAGCGCCGGGCAGCAGACGGAGCCGGCAAGGCGAAACGGACCGCCCCGCCAACATCCACGTCCTAGATCCTTGGCGTTGCACAGTGAGGTTTCAATCATTGTCATCATCATCATCATCGTCATCATCAACGTCGTCATCATCATCATCAACGTCGTCATCATCATCCTATCATCCCGTCATCATCATCCTATCATCCCATCATCATCACCATCATCCATCATCATCATCAACAACATCAACATGATCATTATCACCATCAGCGCTTTTCGAGCCTCACAATGAAATTTAAGCCAACCTGGAAATTCTTCGTGAGAAATTTAAAGTGCAGTGTCTTGTCCCGGGTGTCGCCCAATTCCCGTAAAGTACCGGGAGGACATGACGAGGAAAATGAATTGAGCGAGGTAAAAAAAGCTCAATCCCGTTTTTTTTTTTCGTGGCCAAGGACACTTCTCATAAGTGGATCAAGAAAAGGGCGGGAAAAAAGTGGCAGCACGCCCCGCCCCCTCGCCCCGCCCCCGCGACACCGAAGCGACCTTGTAACAAGCCCAGTGGTCCAGACCGGGCCAGCCCCGCCTCGGCTTCCCTGCAAGGACATGAACGGTGTGTTCTAACTGTTCTATCATCTTCGCCGAGCGATCGCCGAGAGGGCGGCGGTGGGAACGAGCCAAAAAGGATGGCAAACTGGGTTTCGTCAACGGGTTCGAGTCCCGATCGCTGCGGATCGCTGCTCGTTTTTATCCCTCTCGTTGCACGCAATGCGAGCGAGGCTGACGTGCGACTACGGTCGCACTGCCAACGTAGCTAGGAACTGAAGTAGCGACGTTTCGGGGCCAAACACTAAGCAACGTTTTTTTGTTACTTTAAACACGTAAGCTCCAATGAACTGTGAATGAATTTTCCGCAATAACACCAATATAATCCCCTCCTCCCCCATAAAGGTTAAGAAAAATAAAATGACGAAAAGTCAAGGAAACATACTATAACGTTAGCCGCTCGGTGTACACCACCACTACATCACGAAACAATTTCTCTTCGCGAAACATCAACCCACTTGCCATTGTGCCCTGGCCGGCCGCCCACGCCCCGCGCCGCCCCGCGCGTCTAGTGGCATGTAAACAGCCCCGCACAGAGGGCAGCATTATGAACGCTACAACATATGCAGTACCGTGTCCTGCGCGGTCGCGGCGCGGTCGGTCCCGTTGCGTCGCGGGCCATTTGGTTACAATGGCAATTGAGGCTCTCCCTGGCCGCGGCGTGGCGCGGCGCGGCGTGGCGGCGCGTCGAAGGTGCACATGGCCGACTCACTGCCCTGCCCACTGAGAGTGTTGTTGCAGGGACAATACCGCATTCCCATTGTCAAGTTCGCGCCTGCCTTGTCATGCCGGCAGTAAAAGGCGCGCCCCAGGGCTCCTATAAGGACCTCCAGCCAGGACCTCTTCCAGGATCTTTTTCAGTCCAGGACTTCGTTCAGGGCCTTTTCCAGCCCAGGACTTCGTTCAGAACTTTTTCCAGCCCAGGACTTTGTTCAGAATTTTTTCCAGGTCAGGACTTCGTTCAGGACCTGTTCCAGTGCAGGACTTCGTTCAGGACCTCGTCCAAGAACTATCCAGTCCAGGACTTCGTTCAGGACCTTGTCCAGCCCCGGACTTCGTTCAGGACCTTTTCCAATCCAGGACCTCGTCCAAGACCTGTCCAGCCTAGGACTTCGTTCAGGACCTTTTCCGGTGCAGGATCTGGCCCAGGATCTCGTCCAAGAACTATCGAGTCCAGGACTTCGTTCAGGACCTTATCCAGTCCAGGACCTCTCCCAGGAATTCGTTCAGGATCTCGTCCAGGACCTCGTCCACAACCAAGTGAACCTCGTCCAGGACCTCCAGCAGAAACGCGTGGGGTTGTAAATAAGGACTACACAAAAACTGGACGCGGTCCCCTCGGCCAATTTCACTTC